ACTGTGCCACCAGCGTCTACGCTGGATTCGTCATCTTCTCCATCCTTGGCTTCATGGCTAAACATCTGGGTGTGGATGTGTCCCGCGTGGCAGACCACGGCCCCGGCCTGGCCTTTGTGGCTTACCCAGAGGCCCTCACACTGCTGCCCATCTCTCCACTGTGGTCCCTGCTCTTCTTCTTCATGCTCATCTTGCTGGGGCTGGGCACTCAGGTATGAGCTGCTTTGGGGAGCTCTGGGGAGGCAGGACAGAGGAGTGGTCAGTCCCTTGCTCTGAGGGCTGGGCCTTGCAGTTCTGTCTCCTAGAGACACTGGTCACAGCCATTGTGGATGAGGTGGGGAATGAGTGGATCCTGCAGAAAAAGACCTATGTGACCTTGGCCGTGGCTGTGGCTGGCTTTCTGCTGGGCATCCCCCTGACCAGCCAGGTGAGAAGCCGGTAGGAGGAAGACTGGGCTGCTGCTGCAGGGTCCACAGGGAAGGGTGGGAGCCTGGGCCCTGCACAGGTGACTCAGCTGCCACTGGCCCACAGGCAGGCATCTACTGGCTGCTGCTGATGGACAACTATGCAGCCAGCTTCTCCTTGGTCGTCATCTCCTGCATCATGTGTGTGTCCATCATGTACATCTACGGTAAGTGCTCGTGCTTCCATGGCCTGGTTTGTCCCAGTCCCTAGTTGGCCTACTCTGTCCTACTGGGCCTGATGACCCCATTCTCTCCAGGGCATAGGAACTACTTCCAGGATATCCAGATGATGCTGGGGTTCCCCCCACCCCTCTTCTTCCAGATCTGCTGGCGTTTTGTCTCTCCCGCCATCATCTTTGTAAGTTTTCCCCGAGGCCTTCCCTCTTCAGGGCCCAGTGTTTTTCTCTGGGAAACAACAGAGGGCGAGCAGGAGCCCATCCACCTGGCCAAAGCACCATACCCCCGACTCTAGCGGCCTTCCAGCAGGGTGGGAGGAAGATGCCATACGGTCAGATCAGATTGTGTACTCAAGAGCTACCAGGTCCAGGTGACAGGTTCAGAAACGAATGTTAAGCTCTAACTTGGTTGAAGACACTGCCCAAGCTGGAGCTGCCCAGGGGCTGCTAGCAACTGCGGGGAGTCAGCCCACCTTCCTGGCAGTCCAGCCCCTACCCTGGACCTCAGGAGTCACTGTCCATCACTGCTTTGAGCTCCCAATCCCTCTTAGAGGGATGCTCACGGAGAGACTGTGCATGTGAATGTGCATATGCATATAAATTTGGGATCCGGTGTTCCAGAAGCCCCAAAACCTGCAGGCTCAGGCTTAGGGATAGCAGCTCTGCACTCCTGCAGTTTTGAGGTCAGTGTGCTGGCTTGTTGGGGGAAGTCCCCATTTCCACAATGGAAACTCCAATCAGAGAGCTGAGTGGTGGAGGGACCCTCCCCCCACAGCAAGGTGCTTTCTGCCATTGTTCACATATTAACTTGTGTACCACAACTCTCCAGGCTAGCATTGTTTCCCCCATTTTACAGATAAAGAAACTAAGACACAGGGATGCTAAGTAATGCCCTGAGTCACACAGCTAATAAGGAGAGCAATAGTGTAGAGCCTGCCTGCTATACCAGTGTGACATAGACACAATGGTATATTTAGGAGGAATGGCCCATGAGCTAAAAATCTGTCTTGTTTTAAGTCTTCTGTTCCAGATGGAAAGCCAGGGCTAAGGGTGGGTTGACAGTGCAAGGGACAGAGGAGAGGCAGGGCTACCTCTTAGTGACAGTCAAAAGTCACTCACTGGCAAGGGTGTGTCCTGAATCAACCCCTATCACACTGCACTCCTGGATGCTGCTGGGAGCTTAGCACTGACAATACTCTGGAGGTGTGGCTGAAGAAAAGGCTCCTGGAGGGCTGAGCCTCCACCACAGGGGGGTGGGAGGTTCCTAAGCCTGGCACAGGTACCAGCTCTGAAACAGGTGGGGCAGAAGTCTCCTTTCAGGGATGGGAAGCCAGGCACCACACCAGCACTGTGTTGGCTGGGGCTATAGCAGAGGCTCAGGCCCAGGGCCTGCCTAATGTCAGCTCAGCCTCTCAGGACTCATGCCCTAGCGAGATCTGCGGGCACCTGCCAGGGCAGGAGGCAGGTAAGAGCTGGATACTAGAAAGGTCTGTCATGGTAACTCTGGCCTAGGTCTGGTATCTCCTTGAGCCTGGGCAGGGACCTTTCTGTACCCAGAGCACTCAACAATTGTTACCTTAAAGTGAGGACTGCAAGTTGTATGGATGTGTCTTATCAGGCTGGCATCCCCTCTTTGGGAGCTTTATTTCTGAAAATCTCTTTCTGATAAACTCCATCGTTCTGTGAGCTCAGTGAAGGAATTTTTCTACATATAAATAAGGCTCCAGTTTCATTAAAGACATTTTTGTTTTGATTTTTAAGATAAGGTCTTGCTGTTTTCAGACAGCCTTTGAACTATGTAGCCTCCTGCCTCAGCCTCCCATGTGCCAGGATTACAGGTGTAAATCACCACGCCCGGCTCAAGGAGACTCATTCACTCCCATTACATGCAGTGTCACAATAGGGCCTCTTAGTTTGAATGTGGCTCTTGCCTTTTAGAATTTAGTTACAAGGAAGGCCAGAAGTTCTAACCTGAGCTCCAAGATACAGGAGGATACTGCTGGCAGGCCAAAGCACCCTACTTGCCACCTACCCAAGTTTTAACATCCTATGTTGCTGCAGCCACTGATTTTACTTCCTGTTGTACCCATCTCCTTCCAAAGAGGCTCCCTAGTGCACCTGCAGTTCACAACTTTCCATTTCTAGGCTGAATGTCGCTACGTCCACAGCCACAGGCAGGCAGGGCTTTACCCTCCCTGGCCCCCTCCATTCTTCAGAATAAATCAGCTCAAATCAACAAATGGGTCTGTGCCAGGCACTGTGCAAGGCACGAGGACCCAGAACTGATGCCATCCCAGGAGTTTCCAGGTCTGTTGAGAAACACAAAACAGTACTGAAGGGAGCAGATGGAAAAGGCCACCATGAGGCCTTCAGGAGACCTGGACAGGCTTCCTAAAGATGGAATCCACTCCGGGTTGACAGAGAAAGATTCAGAAGAAAGCGAGGAGAGGCAGGTGGCTGAGACATTGAGGCCAAGGTCACACAGCCAGCAAGACATGCTGAGGTCACGTTGCAAGGTGAAGGTCAAAGGCCGAGGATTTGGCTTTGCCCCAGTAGGCAGCAGGGCACCATTCAAATAGAGTCTGTGACTGACTGACTTCCAAAGGTGGCAGCATCTACGTTGCTCTCTGGCCAGTTCAGGACTAGGCTGACATCCCCCTCCCTTCCCATGGTACCTGCCCACTGTGCCTTGTGCCCCTGGTTCCACCTGCTTCTTCCACTGACCAGGTGTTGGCAGCTGCCAGTGCCCTGCCCCAAGTGTCTCTTCTGGCTTGGGAACCTGGAGAGGAATGGGAACCAGGAGGTAGAGAGCTGGGGTCTGGGAGGGGTTCTGGGCCGGCCTCATCCCCAACTTCCTCTCCACCCTTTGCAGTTCATTCTCATCTTCACGGTGATCCAGTACCGGCCAATCACCTACAACCACTACCAGTATCCAGGTTGGGCTGTAGCCATCGGCTTCCTCATGGCTTTGTCCTCAGTCATCTGCATCCCACTCTATGCTCTGTTCCAGCTCTGCCGCACAGATGGGGACACTCTCCTCCAGGTGAGGGGTGGGAGCCAGCTGAGTGACCAGGCAAAATGAGGGAGGGGGAGACCCAATCCTCAGGGATCACCTCTGACTCACCATGTCTACTTCTCACGCAGCGTTTGAAAAATGCCACAAAGCCAAGCAGAGGCTGGGGCCCTGCCCTCCTGGAACACCAGACTGGGCGCTACGCCCCCACCATAGCTCCTTCCCCTGAAGATGGTTTTGAAGTCCAGCCACTGCACCCAGACAAGGCCCAGATCCCCATGGTGGGCAGCAATGGCTCCAGCCGCCTCCAGGACTCCCGGATATGAGCGCAGCTGCCAGGGGAGTGGCCCCCCACCCCATGCTGCCACCAGAGACTGGGAGGCAATGGACAAGGGTGGCTGCCTGCCCTCTGTTACACCCCAGCCAGGATGGCTGCCGTCATCCTGGCTACCACTGCTAGTGCAGTTATTTGTGCTCGTGTCCCCAGTGTTTACATGTCCTTTGGATGCCAAGACAGCAGCTGGGTGGCGAAGCAGTGGAAGGATTGCTAGGGGGTCAAAGCACTTTGGAGGGGTCTTGGGCCAGGTCCTGAGAGGTCACCAGGCTTCCCATGGCCTCTGATACCCTCGCACTCTGCCCTGAGTTGAGGTTCTGGGTTAGGCCCTGCCCGTTCTCTGTATGGGCCTCCAGCCTCATGACCAGTGTTCCTGATCCCAGAACAGACCCCAGCGTCCACCCAGGAAAATCTGGATCTTCTTCCCTGAGGCCAGGTGAAGGGCTGGGGATAAGGCCAGTGTTACTTGTCAGGCTGTCCCACCAAGCACTGTTTATCTATGTGATTATTTTTGTAAAAACTGTATTATCTGTGGTTGCCAGCCTGCCCTGGCCTTGGGTCCAATCTGTCTTCCAGGCCTGCCTGCACCTCACTTGGCTGTTCCAAGGTCTCTGCCCCTCATTCCAACCCTGGCTGTCAGGCCCAGCCAGCAGAGGCTGTGACTCAGCAGCCTACCCAAAGCACTTGTTTCAGGAGGCCAGAGGGGTGGAGGCTGCTCAGCAGGGGTCTGAGCCTACAACCCTAAGAAAGGGGACCCTGCACGACACCCCTTGCCCTCTTTCTGCCAGGCTAAAGATCCTGGGTTCCCAGACATGTAACCCATTCATGTGCCAAACAGCCCCAGGCCTTGTGACCCAGCCCCTCTCCAGAGCCAGAGCTCCATCTCCCAAGCCCTGCAGTGTCTGTCTGTCCTCTGTGCCCTCTGTACAGTGACAGCACTGGCCAAGTGGCCTCTAATCCTCTGTAGCAATAACGGTGCGCCACCCACCCTGCCCATCCATGCACCACTAGGATTTTAAAGTCCATAGATTTTAATGAAATTTCTATTCCTGTCTGAGCTGCTGCTGTGCTTTGTCTGGGTCCCCTGGGGGACAAAAGTCAGGACTGGGATGGGATCTCCGTGAGCCAAGCATTTGTGGTGGGCTGGGAGGAGAAAGGCTGAAGGCTTTGACAGATATCTGGACACTCAGCCCTAGAATGAGGGACTGACAAGGTGGCGGGCAAGGATCAGACATCCAAACAGCCTTTAGGTTCTGTTGAGAGCTCACACCGGACTGGACCTGAAGCTGGCAGAGCCATGGCAGCTAAGAGGTAGCAGCAGCAGATGAGGCAAGTTTCAGCAGAAACAGAAGCCTACTTCAGGTTGAGGCCTGATGTGCAGCACTGGACACTGCTGAGGGAGCTGACCTTTCCCTGGGGCTGCACCGAATCTGCCGTCCCCAGCAGTGGATGGAGGCCCGGCCTCTATGCTGGGGGCGCTTCTCCAAAGGAGGTGTAGGTAGGTAGCCTTGGGGAGGTCTGGCCCAAGTTCCAGCAGCCCCTTGGAGGCAAGGAAAGGGTCTAAGATCCAAGGGCTGTTGCCTGGATGGGAAGAAGTAATTATGAGGGGCTATGCCTGGCCCTGCAGCCCACCCCAACCACTGCCTGTCTGCTTTGCTCTACCTCTGTTTGCTGGAGACACAGGAAGGTCCCAGAGGGGCCTGCAGCTCCTGTTCCATGGCTTTCTTTTGTTCCTTTAGCTCTGAGGAAGGACACGGCTGAGACAATGCCTGGCTCCCCCAGCATGTGCCCATTGTGGGGTGAGGACAGGAGTCAGGTTCTCAGGGGCCTGCTGAGGGTCCTCACCTGCCAGGGTGGGCTCAGTGGCTGCCTTGGAAGACTGAGGAGCCTGAGTGTACTCCACTTCTAGGCAGTGCTGCAGGAAGAGGAGGGTCAGTGGCCCAGCAGCCTGAAGGCAGAGACCAAGATCCCTAGTACAGAGCCCAGCAACAAGTCCAAGCAGCCCCTCAGCCCATCCGCCAGGAGGGCAACCCCCAGAGAGGACACCAGTGTAGCTGAAGACCAAGATTGGCAATGCTGTTGGCCTTGCACTTGGCTTCAGGTAAGGAAAAGAAGTAAAAGACCTGGGATGATACAGCAAGTTAATCTAAAGTGGGCTTCTAGGACTTCACATATACTACACAAGTGATGAGAAGGGAATGCAAGACTCACACAACCTTGACACGCACATATATACTCAGACACATATATACACAGGGGTCTCAGCACCAGGTAAGGGGCAGAGAGGCTTGTGGGAAAGCCCAGAGCTACACTTACCTGCAGGTTGGAGATCTCCCTCTCCAAGGTGCGACATTCCTCCTCCAGGAGGCCCCTGGGGTGCAAGGAAGCCCAGAACAGGAGCCACAGGCCCCAGTCAGAACCTACCTACAGCTGGGCCTCAGCCTGCAGCCTGACCAGGCTCCCTCCAGCCCCTCCTTTCTCAGCTGGCTTTTCCCTCTGCAGCCTGGCTGCTGCCCCAGCTTCGACTTCAGGCCCCTGCCAGTCTCCTTTGGGGAGAAAATGTCTTCTTGCTCACCTGGCAGCTCCAAGCCAGCAGGCACCATCCTCTCTTCTGCACTGTATAAGAGGATCTGTGACTCCTGCCCTGTCACAGCCCTTTCCCTGCTTCCCTTGGCTCACCCTAGCATCAGGTTAAAAAGTGTATGACCCAAACTGGGCGTGGTACTGTATATCTACAGTCCGTGCATTCTGGGAAGCTAAACTTGATTTTTAAGTTCTAACCCATCTGGGCAACTTAGTGACACCCTATCTCAAGATAAAACATAAAAATGGCTGGGAATGTAGCTCAGTGCAGAGGTTTTGGGTTCAATCCCCAGAAAGGTAAAGAAAAACAAAACGAAGAACCTAGGACCCTGGCACACCACCACTACCTTATTTGACTGTGTCCTGGCGACGGTCCCAAGTACTGCAGCGACCAGCCTTCCACTCCCCCCACCCCAGCCCTCACAGGTTGCCTCTCTTCTCACTCAGTACCAGCACCTCAGCATCCAGTCCATCTTCTGTCCTGTCCCCCATCGACACACATTCAGGTTCCCCTGAGCCTCACCTCAGCTGTCCAGCAACTTGGTCAATGAGGGACACACGCAGCTGGTCCTTAATGACACTGAGGTCCCAGTGACTGCTGCTGGCAGATGAAATCAACATCAATCTCCCCATGTTTCTCAATCCAGGCCTTCAGGACACAGATGTCACTTCTTGATAATTTTGTGTCTTTTCCCACAGGCAACACAAGACAGTGCCAACAGTGGAAGCGCTGGCTTGCGAATGGGCCTCGCTGCCCTTCACTGAGAGTGACCTTAGGCAAACTGCTTTTTCTTTCTGAGCTCCTTTTTTTCCCATCTACAAAATGGGGGTCACCCACCTTCATCAAATTGTAGGAAGACTAGAAGATGCTGCTGCCACCCCTTCTTACGAACATGCCCTTGAACATTTATCTCAGCCAGCCCCTAGCTGCAAACACTGCCTGCTGCCCTCTCCCTTCAGTTCTCTCTGCCTCTCCAGCCCCACCCTCACTTCTGTTCCCTCGGTCTGAGGAACATCTGCCCACTAGATATGGCCTTCTGCTCTCCCACTTACGGAAAAGCTTTTCTCTCTTTCATTTGCCTGAAAGTTGCTCCTCATACTTCAAGGCCCAAGTTAAATCACTCCTTCCAGCAAGCCTTACTGCCTCCAGGCTGGGCATGCATGTATCTCCTTGAGGGATTTTGCAGTCTTCATGTTAAGATCCCTATTACAAGTGTCCCGGGCCAGGTGTGTTGGCCATATCTGTAATCCTAGAATTCTGGGAGGCTGAGGCAATAGGATCACTGCAAGTTAGAGACCAGTTTAGGCTATATAGTGAGTTTAAGGCCAACTTGAACTACATAGGAAGATCTTAACTCAAAAAATAAAGGGCCGAGGAGATAGCCCAGTGCCTGCCTAACAAACACAAGGTTGCGAGTTTGATCCCTGGTACAAAAAGAAAAAAAGAAAATCAAACAAAAACGAGTAACTTCCTCTGTGCAGACAGGCACAACCCACCCGTTGGCTGGGGTGAAACAGAGATAGAACCCTCCTCCTCCACCACCACTCCACCTGGGTTCACCAGCTGTCTTCTGGAATCTCTGTTCTGGCAAATCCGGCCTGGACTCCTCCAAGGCAAAGTGAAGGACCCTAGGGCTATAATGGGCCCATGCCTCAGCCTGGTCCCTGCAGAAAGTGCACATGAAGGACATGGGAGTTCCTGTCAGGAAACCTCAGGACTGGCCTGAGCTAAGGCAGGGAGGCCCAGGCTGAGGTTCCCACCTTCCCTCGCGAATGGCCTTTTGGCGGAGACCTTGGAGCAACTGCCGGAGTTCCTGGCGTATAAGGTCCCTTAGGTGGGGTGGTGGTGCCAGAAGGGAGGAGGGATCGGAGAGGCCGTGGGAGCTGGGGACTTGGGTGGACCAGGCCTCTCGGAGCAGTGCCCGTAGCGCCGCCACCTGCAAGGCAGAGCTGGGGCACCTTGCATCTAAGCAGGGAGAAGACAGGAGTGATAGGATAGGGCGGAACCAAACAGGAGAGGGCACAGAAGACAGTGAGACCCAAGTTCCCCAGAGTCATAAAGCTGGGCCAGGAATCCCGCGAGTCTTGGAGCAGGTCTGGACTCCCTCCCCCCACCTCCCCGCTCCCCACCTCCGCCCGCAGCTCCAGGCTCAGGTCCACCGCAGCCTCCCCCAGAATCCTCTTCACTTCAGGCCGCTCCGGGAGCGGAACTTGCTCTTGCACCGTCTCCCACAGCGATGGAAACTCCCGAGGCTGAGCTTTGGTGCGCCGCAGCCCCTCATTGAGGCCTATGGGACAGTGGAACCGGGCACAGGGTTCCCCTGAGACCTGTGGCGCTTGGGCAGGACCACGCCACCCGCCCCCACGGACTCGCCAGCTCTGCGAGGTCCCCACGGCTGGAATTACTCAGGTCACCGCCAAAGCCCGCTGGCGCATTCTCTTCAGCTTCGCTCCGGGAAGATGCTCGGGGACAGCCGCTCCCGGCCATGGAGCCAGGGAGCCGGAACCCCGCCCAGCCCACCTCCTCCGTTTGGCGTCACCCGGGAGACCGCGCCCTGGCCCCGCCCCGCCAGTCCAGCGTGGGGCACCCGTGGCCTGCGGGCTGCGCATGCGACGGTGTTTGGGAGTGCCCTCCCCACCAGGAGCCACTGATCCCAAGAACCCTGGACACCTTTCGGCTGGTGGAAAAACAAAAACCTGGTCCCACTGGGTTTATTACTTCATTGTCTCCACTGGCCCCCCGCAGGGGGCAGCAAAGTACAATTAACTTTCCCCCAGGTCACCCCAGCGCCTGGAGAAACCCGGATGGCCTGGTCAGGTCAGGTGCCCTCCTACATCTTGAAGTAGGTTCAGGCACCCCATCCTCACCCCAGACACACAAAGGGAGCTGCTCCATTCACGTTTTTTTACTAAAGCACCCACACGAGGAGTTTCTGTGCAACGTACAAACACGAGCCGGCCCTGGGGCTCCTGCCTCTTGAGGCAGGGAGATGGGACTCGGACTGATCCAAGCCCCCCCCCCCCCATGCAAAGATCAACCCCAAGATCCCAGGCAGCAACAGCACCCGCTCTGCTCCCCTTCTGGGGCTGCTCCTCAGCAGGGGTCGCACCAAAGTTTGCCCCCTACAATGCGGAATGAAAAAGGTTTCCCCTCCCCTGGGAGCATGGAGGATTCCCAGCTGAAAATTCCCCCTGGAAGAGACACTGCCCCCTCGTCATACCTTCCACCCTTCCAGGCCCTAGGGGACTCAAGGGGGGAAACTGAGGCACAGAGAGGTGGAGTGACCTAGTCCAAGCCACTCGGCGAGGCAGTGCAGGGGCTGGCCCGACCCTGACAGTGAGGGGGCTGGGCTGGGGGAATTAGGGCAGGAAGAAGAAGGGCTGACCCCAGAGAGGGCCACACTTGAGGGGCCTGCCTAGGCCACAAGCCCCTCAAAGTGGGTTCTGAAACCTCTAGGTGCAGCGGGCAGGTCTATTGAAGACCCTCAGAAAACAGCCCACAGTCTCAGTTCCGGGTTCCCCCACCAAAACAGCGCCAGCCACACAGTCCTCTGGTGGGCAGTCCTTGGCACCAAGCACCTTGGTCAGTTAGTGTCAGCCCCGGGGAGGCCACGATGGGGGCCGCCCAATGTCCACCGTGATGTTGGTGAAGAGTGGTTGCCGAGACACCTCCAAGACTTGGTACCGCACTGACCCAATGCCATCCCGCTTCATGGTCAGCTTTGTGTTTTGAATCTTGGTAAACCTGGAGAGGATGAAAATGGATCCACATAAGGGCAAACATCCAGACTCACTGTGGAACCTCCGGGGCCAAGGATCAAGCCCTCCTGTTCCTTCCAGGGAGCACTTTACTCTTGGATCTGCCCCCAATCAGAGACCTTACCCCTACCTTCAGAAAATAGAAATGTGATACCCTCACAAGTCTCAGCACAGACCTCCTCTAAGCCTTAGACTCGGACATCAGGCACTTCAAATACGGTCCCGTGTCAGATGCATCCCTATTACTCCCCAATCTGTGTCATCGTCCATTTCTCTCCTTTAGTCACTCCTTCTCCATCAGTCAGGCTGTCCTCTGGGCACCAGGATGCAGCCGTGAGGACAAACAAGGCCCTTTCTCTTATAGCAAATCCATTTTAGCAGGACAAACAGAAAGCAGGCAAGGGAACAAGATGGCTGCCCAGGAAGGAATGTGTGGCACTGAGCTTAGGGCAGGGCAAGAGCATCTGAGGCAGGGGTCAGCGTGCATGCTTCCCCTAGGCACAGCTGCACTGCTGGACCTTCATAGGCCAAGGAGGAAACAGAAGATTAGTTGAGAAGTTTGAGCAGAGCTCTCTACAGCAGGCTAAGCAGCTTGTGCTTTATTATCTGAGAGGACACAGAGGGAATCTTAGGCCAGTTTTGGCAGGACGGGAGCATGGGCTATCGAAGGCCAAGGAAGAAGCAAGGAAACCCATGCAGCAGTCCACAGAGATTGGAGAGGTGGACCAGGTAGGATAAAGATAGGGAGTGGGAAAGCAGGTGGATTCAAAATAGGGGGGATGGATGGCTGGTGACCTCAGTGAGCAGATTCAGAGGAGAGGAATCCAGAACTAGACTTGAGCCAAAAGCAACTAGGTAACATGTATCCCATAACAGTATGTTATAAACCTCGGATAAAGTTTATTTTAAAAATAAAAACTTTAAAAAGGCAGCCAGGTAGACAGAACCCCTACTTAGTCTTCACCTAGCTCTTTTTTGCTATCTGGCTATTTCCATACCCAAGCACACATCACTCCTGTGAGGACACCCAGGGAGGCTATTTGTGCAGCGGGACAAAGGCTTCTGACATGTACTCACAGAAGCTCTCCTCCCACCCTCACGCCAACTGTCAGAGCCTTCTTGTCCTTCTGAGCTCAGCTCAGGCCCTCCCAAGACCTTCCAGGACTGCACAATCTCCCTGAGCCTTCCTCCTCAAGACAGAACCCTTCTCTGCTGACCATTTTTGTTTTGTTGTTTGTGGTGCTGGAGAGTGAATTCTGAGAGGACACAGAGGGAATCTTAGGCCAGTTTTGGGAGGACCCAGCATAAGTCCTTGCCCACTGCCTCTATCAGTGCCTTCAGGCCTATGGTACATCCTCTCCAGCTCTACCCAGCTGCTGGGCAAGCCCTTTACCTTCCTTGACCTCTTAAGAGTGAACCTTCCAAACTTGGTGTGGTAGTACATGCCTGTAATCCCAGCACTTGGGAGGCTAAAACAGGAGGATTGCTGCAAGTTTGAGACCAGCCTGGGCTACCAAATGAGCTCAAGACCAGTCTGAACTGCAGAGCAAGATCCTGTCTCAAAAAGACCGAGAAAAAAAAAAAAAAAAAAAAGCCTGATCCTGCCATTCACTGTTTAAAGCTACTCTGTTATTCCCAGTCCCTCTGGTCAAAGGTTAAACTCCTTGTCTTGTACTCAAGACCCTAAACCACCAGCACTGTCTTCTGTTGTCACTCCCAGACTTCTACTATCCTAAAAACCAAACGTATAAACCGAGCATTGTGGTTTTATAACCCAGCACTTGCGAGATGACTGAGTTTGAGGCCAGCTTGGACTCTATGAGACTCTACCTCAAAAAAACATAAAGAAGCTAAGCATGGTGGCACATGCCTATAATACAGCACTCTGAGATTGTGAGGCAGGAAGATCATAAGTTTGAACCCAATCAGAGCAAATAGGACCCTGTCTCAAAAGAAAAGGTGAGGGATGTAGCTCAGTATAAAGGCCCTCAGTTCAATCACCAGTACGGAAAAAAAGAAAGTTTTAAGAGTCTTAGTGTATTCCACACATATTCACATTCCAAACTCTTACAAATACATTTCCTTCATCTATAGTGGCCTCCCCCTTTAGCCTTGGTGAACACAGCACTGTGGCCAAAGTAGGCGTGAGACAAGTATTTGGAATAAATGAGTCTTTTCAAGCTCCGGTCTGCCCTCACCTCTTCCAGGAAGCCTCCCACCTTCACTCCCTCATCTGCCAAGACAGCATTTTGCTCTCCTTACCTGGTGCTCTGCCTGCCTCTTTGCCTAGAATGTGCACCTCGAGGGTCGGAGGGTGGAGACTAGGTATGGATGCTCTGGGTCTCCCATCCCCAGAAGGCCTCGAGTTGGGAAGTCCTCGTCTGTATTTTGCATGCCCTTCTCCCAACCTGCCCAGAGAGCAAATGTGGACACCCCTAGAGATGGAACTGCCTCCTCTGGTCTCACTGCGGTTGATACTGGCTCTCCAGTCCTTCCTGTGCCCAGCAAACACTCTCATCCCATCCTCTCTGATAAGGCCAGGAGAAGCTGAGGTCATGCAAGAGGCATAGATGAGATCTTCAAGGGCACCAGTGGGAATGTAATTACTTTTTTTTTCCCCCTTCAGTTTTTGGGTTTGAACCTAGGGCCTTGTACATCCTGGCAAGTGCTTTACCCATTGAGCTATTTCACCAACCCTTTTAAAACAGGGTCTTACTGTGTACTTCAGGCTGGCCTTGAACTCACTATATAGCCCAAGCCAGCCTCGAACTCGTGGCAATTCTCCTGCCTCAGCCTTCTTAGTGCTGAGATTGCAGGCGTGCACCACTACAGTTGGCTGGGAATATAACTACTCAATGACAGTCTGAGCCCTGACTCTGAATTCTGGTCACCTCTAGGAATTATTAGGCCAGGAGTGAGAGGTATCTAGGGGAGGAGCACAGGAAGTTCTGGAGAATCAGAAGTCACTGATCTGTAGCTTCTAGGTCAGCTCTTAAGTGTCAAGGATGCTTCAAAGCCACTTTTAGAAGATCAGAGATTGAGCACACTTGGGCTCAAGACTCAGTGTACTAAGCAGTCAGCTCTAGGGAGTAAGGGCTAAGGGACACCTGGGATCAGGGTGCTGGAGGGGTCACCTCTGAGGGTTGGGCTCGTTATGCTTGTCCCGGTCGTGCTTGATCATGCGGTAGCGGCCTATTCGGATGTCTGGCCGTGAGATCTTCATCCCAGTCAGGGAGATCCTGAGGATGGGGACAGATGGACTGGAGCAGGCACCAGAAAGGGCAAGGAGCCCCATGCAGTCTGCACTTCACCCCTCAGCCCCCGGGCCAGAATTCTCCCAAACCTCTCTACTCACCTGTTGAAGATGTCGTCATCCTCGCCACCCCAGCCCCAGTACTCATTGGGGAAGCCATTAATTCTCAGAAACTGGGCCTTACTCAGGCCTGACACACCTCCAAAGTAGCCAGCATAGGGCAGCCTATGGCATGGGAGGGCGGGTATCAGTAAGAGTTGCAAGGGATCAGAGTCAGGGTTTGGGGAGGACACAGAATCAAGAGTCCAGAAAGGACCTGTCCTAGCCAGGATGATGCAGGCCATGGTCAGGGGCCAGCAGCAGGGCACAGAGCTAGGAGTGAGGACCCAGGTGAAGGAGGGGCATGGAGGTCTGGGTCTAGCTGAAAGGAGCACCTCACCGGAAGCCAAACTTGTCCATGGCAATGGCAAAGTGTCGGGGCTGATCACCACAGCGGTATAGATTGCGGTCATCCATGGGGACCAGGTCCACGTCACTGAAGATAAAGCAGTCGTAGGCAGCATCCTCCTTCAGTGCCTCCAGGAAGCCCACATTGAGCAGCTTGGCCCGGTTGAAGGTGTCCTCACCATGCTGGAGGTGAAGAGTGCGTCACTCTGGGCCCATGACCAGCAAATACCTGCCACTTCACCCCTTCCTAGGGTGATCTCCAGAGGCCACTCAGATCTTCCTTCCCTGCAGGGTTCTTTAGATTCTCCAGAATCCAAGTCCAGTTTCTCAGTTAGATCTGGCCTTCAGAGGCTTTGCATAACAACTTGCAGTTTCCTCTCTGGCTACCGCCTCTGACCCTACTGCCCAACCACACTTTGTTCCTTAGAAGCTGCCGAACATGCCACGCCCTTTCTCATCTCCAGGCCTTGGGACAAGTAATTCCCCTTGCCTAGAATGCCTGCCTCTGCTTGTTGAACTCCTATCTGAAAAGTCTCAAACTCCCTGGTCCCAGTACAATTACTCACTGCCTCTAGGGGCTTCGTTTATACCCAGGTCCACTTAAACCATTATTTAGAGCTCTCATCTCATTCACCCGTTCAAACACGCCCTGTGGCCTTCTCCTTTGTGCCAGGCATCTCCTTTGTGCCAGTGGGGATTCTAGAGAAGAGCAGCCCTGGACTCTATTCCTGCTGAGCATACAGTCACAAAGTGAGACAAACAATGAATGCCCCAAATGACCAGTGTCTATGATGTAGAAGCTGTGGGGACTGAGCCACCCATCCTCAGGCACTTCCCCCTCTGGCCCATTTCTATCTATCCAATCCCTTGGGAGTTTCTGAAACCATGACAAGCAGAAGGCTATAGGCAATTCATCCTGCTGTGATCGCTAAGAAATAGGCTGTGGGGATCCTGGCTGTACAGTCCCACACACTACATCCTGGACAGAGGCAGTAGGACTCGAGAAGCCAGCACCTGCACCCCTGCCCCAATGCAGACTAAAGCCGACAGTCCTGGAGAGCAGTGTGCGAGTGGGCCCCTCCTCTACACCAGCCAAGCCTGAGCCTGATGGGTGAGAGCTGCTCCCCTGTGAAGTGATCTGGGCAGCCCCACCGGCCCTTCCCTCCCTCTCCTGCACCTTCGCTTCCACCAGCCCTTGGAAGGACTGTCCATTTCCTCCTGGCTCATCAGCATTCCTTCTGGCCTCTCTCACCAGCCAGGAGTCCTAGGTTTCTCTCACATGGTTCATAAACATGCTCAATTCTCTCCCTGGAAAGAAAAAACAGACCTCCCTCCAGCCACCGCCCTACCTTTCGCCTTCCCTTCTTGGCAAAGATTTTTTTTTTAAAGAATTGTCTCCAATCAGTTATTTTGTCAAATCCGATTCCTTCTTCAACCCACTGCAATCTGTTTCCACCCCCATCATGCCCCTGAAATGGCTCTCACTGAGCCCACCTTGTTGCTAAATCCACTGGACGCTTCTCGGTCCACATCCCTCTTGACTCCCCCACAATGCTAACGCAGCTGCCATGTTTCCTTCCTGACACCAACTGCTGAGCTTCTGGGATACCCACTGCGCTGGTTCTCTTGTCACCCTTTGGTCATTTTCCTGGTGTCTGCAGAAGCTTCTCCCTTTCCACACACCCCTTCAGTACTGGCTTTTCCCTATCACATCTAGCTCCATCGGCATGTTGGGGAAATGGTGCTCCCCAATTTTTCTCTCCACTAGAGACCTAAGTCCAATATCATCGACTAACTGCCTAAAGAATGCCCCTGCACTTACCCCAAGCTCTCTACCTCTCCCAAGTAAGACAGGTTCCAGAGTTTCCTCACATGGCCTAGCTCCTGTCTTACTCATCCACACAGCAAACAGCCAGGACTGAAACCTTTGTATTGTCTCTCACTTTTCCCTATTACTGTGTGACATCTCTCCTTTATCCCCACAATGACCACACATTTACCATCTCTTTCCTGGCCATCACAATCTCTCCCTAACAGGTCACCCTGCCTTTGGCCTCCCCTTCCATCTATTCTCCATATGCAACCACAGCAATCTTCCTGAAAAGCAACCACATACATAACTCCCTTCTTGAAACAATGGAGTTCTACCACCTTCAGGCTATAATTCAACTGTTTAATGTGTGTCCCAAGATCCTTTTTGATTTGATCTCCACCAATTCCTCCAGCCTAATCTTTGCTACCCAGCCCCCACTCTGCTAATAGCTCCCAAACACACAAGGCCAGCTGTCCCACTTAGTCCTGGGTCTGCCAGGTCACTCTGCCTAGAATGCTTGCCTGTTTTTGTGCCTCTACCTGCTCCTCCTATTCATCCCTCAAGACCCATCTCAACAAATGCATCCCAACTCCAGGACTATACCGGGCCCCGCTGTACTCCCAATGTCTCCCTGCTCCAATTCCAATCATATATCACTCTACCAGAGTCTACAGGGATCCACTTTTGAGTCTAGGCACTTTGTGGGAATGCAAAGCGTATATCAGACCTTTCTGGACCTATTAGCCACCCTAGCTAGCCCCACAGCAGGGATAAGATACTGCTTTGAGTAGCCTGGCCTAAGCTGTGGTCAACATTGCCCCCTAAGGGTTTTAGGCTTCGTTCTTCTTTCAACGAATAACTGTCTTCCCGGAGCCCTCAACAGACTCCTAGTAGTGTACTTTAGGCCTCTACCACCACAGGACAGGGTCTGCCAAATGCAAATAACAGGGTTCACTCTTTCTGAGGCTATGCACAACTGCAAGCATTCATGCCAATAATCACTTCACATACTCCTTCACACGCACACAAACTTTCCTGTGCACACTGAAATACATATGCTTCACACCCCTGGGTTTCACATACCCATACAGCCATGGACAAACAGGAATCTCCAGATGCCCCTCAACCCCACCCACGTACAAACAGGCACATAGGCCCCTACTCCCCGAACAGGTGTACCCACTGGTGCATGTGGGCTTTGTGATGGCTAGTATCCAGCCAGGGACCACACACCTGGTTGATGACATAGATGCCATAGCGTAGCCGCTGCCGCCTCAAGATGGGATGCAGATAGTGGAGCCAGTAGCGTAGGTGATGCTCCCGGTGTCTAAAGGGGATGATGACCGCCACTGTCTGGGCTGGGGTGCAGTCAGGTGGTGTATAGCGGCCACCCAGGAGCACGCCTGGGTTCTCCCTCTGTACCCGCTCCAGGGGCATGGGTGAGGTGAACTCAATGAGCAGTCGACCCACTGCAGGCAGGATGGTGTCAGGAATCAGGGCCTTTGCCAGAACCTAGGACACCAGCCCTCAGGAGGTGGGCAATGGAACCCCAGAAACAGTCAGCCCTCTTAACAGACCTAGTCCTCAGCACCTCCATGGGTCAAGACTCCAATCCCCCAATCACACTGCTCAGACCGTTCTCCCACCCTAGGTAGGTCCCACCCTACAGGCTCACCAAGACCAGGAGGAGAGTCAGGACAGGGTGGCAGGATGGGAGCTGTAGGGCCAGGCCGGGCACTGGGGACCTCAGGGAGCCCAGAGCTGGGTGCAGTGGCGTTGGGCCGAGAGCAGTTGGTGCTGCTGCTGGCTGCCGGGTGGAGGACGCGGGTAGGGCCACGGGCACTGAAGCGGCTGAAGAAGGCCAGATGCTGGGCATAGACATCAAAGTAGAGGATAACAGCCACGAGGAAGTGCAGTAGGCAGAGAAGGAGCACAGCCTTGCAGACACGCTCCAGCGTCCCCCCCAGCAGCCTGCTCATCCCGCAGGCAGCCACCGGCCAGCCCAATGGGCCCAGGCATCCGGCTGCTGGCCTAACCAGGAAGGGAGAAAAAGAAACCCTGCAGGTCAGGGTAAGATGGGCAAGGCTGCCTATTTGCCTCTGCCCCAGCAGCTCACATCACAGGCCCACTTTCTCACTCTTACCTTGCCCTTCGGTACTCACGGAATTTCCTTTTACCTGCAGACATACCCAGAGAGTTGCTGCAACTCATTGTGCACCTATCTTCAGGCATACCCGATACTAAGCCACACACATTTACATTCCTTGTCATCCCTGACACATGCACATTCATACTCAGGCACACGCACTTATTACACAACTGTACACACATGTAGTCCCAGGCACACAGACATGTGAACTCTAATCACATGGGCTCATACCTACACACAGAAAAACATTTACCATACACACTCTTATGTGTACTTGTGTCCTAGAGAACAGACACCCCACAGGGCAGCACCCTTAACCCAGGACTCATGGCTTGGGGACAGTTACTACTTACTGAGTACCTACCATGCAGGATCACTTTGTACTCATGACTTCATTTAGTCTTTCCAGGAGCCATGGTGGAAAGTGGTTTGATCATTCAGGTCTCAACAGCTAGCAAGCCAGGCCAACTGGGACCAGGCTGGGAAATGATCCTTAGCATCCAGGGGTCCAGATATGGTCAGGATATTTGTGGGATCCCTTCCCATTGGAGCAAGTGGTCAAACTACAGGGTGGGGCAGAAAATACCCCTCTTTTAAGACCCTAAAGCCAGATCTGGATCGTGGCCAGCCCAGCTGATTCTGAATGTCAGAGCAGGATCTGTTTGGGCTTTAGAGGGAACACTTCCACAGAAGCAGGGAGGGGGCTTGCCTGGGCCGTGGATCAGGCTGCGGTTCAACAGGGCAGCAACCACTTCTGCCAGTGCTCCAGAGACAAGGTGAGTTTCACTCCCACAGACAGAGCATCACACTGACAACCCTGGTCCCAGCAGTAGTCACCCACTCACACACAACTACATACAGAATCACAGACACACCCGGTTGACAGTAACACACAAAAAACAACAAAACCCTGCTCCAGGATTTACACAACCACACATCCAGGCAGCTCACACCCAGACTCACGTGCAAGCATTCCGACCCCTTCCTCCGGGTCAGGAGTTCTGGGTCAGGAGTTCTGGGTCCAGTGGGCCACCAGGCTAAGGGATGCATCTAGGCGGGGCTGGGAGACTGAACACGTGGCACCCCGGGATGGGGGAGGAATCGGAGACCCAGTGGGTATGGACCCTGGGGGGTGCGTGGGGGTGAGCGAGGCTGTGGGCTGGGGTCGAGGGAAAGGGGAGAAGTGATCAGACGCTCATACACACACTCCGCCACGAGGCCGGGGCGAGCGAGGACAATGAGCAAGGCTGGCTGGGGGCGGGCGGAGAAGCCCAGAAGGGGAGCCGAGGGATGGGGGTGGGGCGAGGTGAAGGCAGGCCGGGGGCTGCAGCCCGCGCGCCTCTCACCGGGTAGAGCTCGGGCTGCCCGGTCTGGAAGGTCGGGACCTGGACGGTGGAAGGGGGGGCCCCCCCGCAAGCCCCCTCCTCTCACCCGGCGCTCCGGGCTCAGCAGGGGACGCCGCTCCAGCTCGGGCAGGGTTCCCGGCTCCGGCGGCTTCGGAGGGCTCCGTCCCCCATGGCCCGGCCCCGCCGCCTCCCACTGCAGGGTCAGTGGTCCCCACAGCCCGCCGGCCGCCTCCTGCCGGCGCCACTGCCGTGGGCCATGGAGCCGAGCCGCCCTGGAGGGGCAGGGCGGGGCCGGGCAGCCGGGTAGACCCACGGACCGGCGGACCGACGGACCACAGCGCCACCGCCTCCCTCCCGCGCTACGGCGCCTCGGAGGGGCAGGCCAGTCCGGCGCGCCCGCTTTTGCGCGCCCCCGCGGTCCCCGCCTCCAGTGCGCTTGCACGCGCGCGGCGCGCCGCTCCGACGCCTGCTACTGCCAGTGACCGATAGTGGCCCAGTCGTCAGCGGAGGCACGAACCAGAGAGGTGCAGGGGGCATAGAGTCAGATCCCTCCACGATCTCAGCTAAGAGATCAAACCCGTAAAAGGGTGCAGATTGGCCAACCCCCTTACTGAGTGGAAACAGGGCCTGGAGATGAGGCCAGGTTTGGCTGGGAGCTAGAGATTTTTCAACTCTAATGGGAGCAGGATTGAAGATCTGCCCCTCAGGGTCAACCATGTCCATGCATCAGCGGGGGAATACAGGTCGGGTGGGACTGTTGAGTGTGAGCTGGAGGTGGTTGGGCTTTGAAGGGAACAGGTGTTTGGATAAGATTTGGAGACAATCAGAAACGGGATAGGACTGGGCAGAACTTGACAGGGCCTTACGACAGAACCACAGCCATGGTCTCTGGGTGATGGTGCCAGATTGTGGCTTGGAAGCAGAGGAAACAGATGGGCTCCAAGCCCCAGGAACAGGGTATGATATGCCTAAGGGTAGAGCCAGGTAGCAGCTGCCACTCAATATGGGCCCACTGGACCTGGAGGACATGTGGCTAGGAGGACCCCAGACATAAACTCTGAGATACCTCTGTCAGAGTTTCCCTTGTTCCCTTCTACAAAAAATGTCAAGAGACTACAGAGTCCATACCACAGTACTGAGACCTCCTAACCCAGGAGCCAGGTCTGTCCAGAGCAGAGGTATGCAGAGATACAAAGTGGGTTAAGGGCTCAGCATGAGGCTGAGGCACAAAGGCTCTGTCTGTTCCCTTCCTCTGTGAAAGGTGGCGCAAAAGGGCAATGGAAGCTGCACTTACTCTGACAAATACCACGTTTATTTCACAAACACTGGGAGGATGGGTTGGAGTGCAGGTGCACAGCTTGCACAGTCACCATCAGCAGCCCGTTCCCCACCCAGAGGATTCAGCCCAGACTGCAGTGCCTCCAAGTCGACAGTGAGAGGTGAGTGCAGGAGACCCTGAACACCAAACTCCCGAAAGGCTAAGGGGCACAGCTCCAGCTGTCCCAGGAAAACCAGCAATAAATAAGGGCAGGGCACGGCCCCACCCACACATATCATCTAGTCACCCATCTTCACTCTGGAGGTCTGAAAAAGAAGAATGGGAGACAATCAGGCAGGGACAGAGGAACAGACAAGACAATGACCATGACAAGATCAAACCCTGAACCCCATTGCTGGACACACATATCATAATAGATAACCAGACCAGGACACACAAATAGACAGGAACCACTGAGTTAGGCTGAGGAAAAGATGGAGAGAAATGGCATATGGACTATGCTAGACAATAAGCACCAATCCAATCAAGAACCTCAATCACACTATAACAGATCCTCAGGTTGATCTTTAGTTACAAACCCACATAGCATCAGGTGGACAAGACACGCAATTCAGACATGCTGTCCCTCTTATCAGTAGGACATAGTCATACATATAAGCCTTGAGAGACAAACACATCAAGACGGATGGATATAGTTAAGATCTCAAACCAGCACAGATCACAAAGGTATCATCTGTATTTCTAGAGACAGCAAACAGAAAGAAGATAACAGATAAAACAGCAAAGCAACAACAACAAAAAAAAAGTGAAAGCCTTAAGGAAGAAACCAAGAGATGGGAATGAGGTAGTGGAAACTTTCCAGGGTTTCTACAGTTATGGGTAGAGAAGGAGAGTAGCTGGGCTCCTCTGGACATTAAGTAAGGATGAGTTGGAATCAAGGACACAAAGGCTCCCCAGGGGGATCCAGCACCTGAAGGATTGCAACGATGACGCCAAAGAGGCCGATGGCACTGCCAAAAATCTCCACGATGAGAATCTTTACAAAGAGGCTGGGGTTCTGAGCATCAGCCAGGGCAGCCCCACTGCCCACGATGCCCACGCAGACTCCACAAAAGAGGTTAGACAGACCCACTGTGAGTCCAGCCCCAAACATGGAGTAGCCTGGGAAACAGACAGAGGCTCAGTGAGACTAAACCAGAACAGAGGGTGATGAAGACATGACCTCAACAGGGTCTAATGGGGACGATTCCCAACCCAACTCTGCAAAAGCCAAAGTAGCTGAAAGAATAGCAAAATTTGAATTCCAAGCTGGGAGGCTGGAGCAGGCAAAGTGTGAAATCCCACTTTTCACATTCACACACATACCCACCTACCTGCATGGTAGTTTCGATGGCCAATGGCATGGGGGTCAGTGGCACTGAAAGGCTGAGGGAGGCAAAAGTAATTAGAAACCATTCATTATGCACCTGCCTCTCCTCCCCCAGTCTCTCACCATTGTGTACACACAATGGAATGGATTCACGCTTGCACCCAGGTTCTCCTTACCTCAGCCATATTGCTAATCACAATTGCCATGATGATGCCGTAGATGGCAACAGCCTCACAGAAAATGATGCTATTAGTGATAATGGTAGAGATAAGAGTAGGGGTGGAGAAGAGAAAAAGATGAGATAGAAACCAACTTTCCTCCCCAGAGAATCCACAGCAACCTTTCCTCAACTCTCACCTCCCCCTATCAAAAGGCTGGTTATAGAAGCAGCATGTCATCAGACACAGGCAATCTCCTCTATAGCTGGTTTTTATTTGTTTGGTCGTTTGTGTGTGAGAGACAGGGTCTTGCTATGTAGTTCAGGCTGGTCTCGAACTCTTGGAGATTTTCCTGTCTTCCTACTGCTAGGATTACAGACATGTGCCACTAAGCTCAGCTGTACTACTAGGTGAGGCACATGCACTTACCTGACCAGGTTCTTTGTCTTGATTCTGGGAGCCTTCACACCTCCACCAATGATGGAGGAGCCTGTAATATAGATGCCCCTGGTGGAAGTAAAGGGAACTGATAAGCAGAGGCCAGTCACTGCTCCCAGGATGACTAAAAACCCACTGATACCACCTGCCATGACTCAGTCTTGCCACTCCATGCCAAGTATCTCAAAACTCACCAGGCTGCCCCAACCACAGACAGGGAGATTGCCAGACCAATGCCCAGGTTTGACCACATGAAGGGGGAAGTCTCAGTTAGAAACCTGGTGTAGAAACAGGGAAGAAAGCAATGCAACTTTGCCCACAAAGGGGGCATAAAACCCTTGGCCTCCCACCCTCCCTACCCCCACCAGCTCAAGATGCTGCAACAACAGACTTTGTATCGCTCAAATGTCCAGCTCCTAAGCGGCAGCTCCTAGTGGCGCTCTCTTACCATGCCACATCAAAGCGGAAGCCCAAGTCAAATATGGTGTAGCAGATTCCTGCAGCAGTGAGGGGGAAAAAAAAGTTACATGGGCTGCTCTATAACGAGAAGCTTCTCAGTCTAGAGAAGTGCTGCCTAGCTCACGGGCCACCTACATCCAAGTCAAGGGACAGTCCTCAGGTTCTCCCCCACCCTGCTCAGGCTTCCATTTTCTGTCACTCCCTCAGTAACACTGCCCCCTCAATGACACCATGACCCAAGTCCCTCCAAGAGCACGCCACAGGAGGAAAAGAGGGAGGGAGCAGGCATTCCTTCCAGGACCTGCCGGATCCTGCCGGCCCAGTCCAAGTTGCTGTTTACCCAACGAGCTGTGAATGGGGAAGGGCAAAACGACGAGAAAGAGGAACCGGAGCTGCCTGCTCATGACCTGCAGGCCGGTGGGGAACAAGAAAGGGACCACAGCAGGGAAATGCGGGAGGTGGCGGTAAAGGAAGAAGGGGGCTAGTGCGGCTGCTGCTATCCCCACCTACGGCCGCCCGCACCCCTCAAGCAGCTGGAACGCTGGCCTCTTCGGTCGGAATCAGAGGCTTCAAGAGACGGGGGGCAAGTCCGAGCCCGTGGCAGAGGTCCGCGCTGGGTTCCCGTACTCCTTTCACCAAAGGGTTCCAGTCCCGCCAGCTTGGGCCCTGATGCTGCCCCCACCCGCCCGGGCCCAGCCTCACCTACGACAACAGCGCAGGCCCAGAAGGCCACGAAGACCCCAGAGTACAGCAGCGCTAGCCCCGTCATGGCGGCGACGACAGCGGGGATGGGATCGGCGGGGCACAGCTAAACCGCGTCCCTGCGTCCACCGACCGCCCCGCAGTGTGTCCACCCGCCCCGCAGCGTCACCTGACGCGCCCACGTGATGCTCCAATCCCACGTGACACCGCGCCAGGCCCTACGCTGCGCGGCTGGCCACACCGAGCATTCTGGTAGTTGTAGTCACGCCTCAGGTAGGCTCCAAAGCGCTTTGGTCTGGGCTCCCTGCGCACCTGGCTTCTCACCACCTCTCCGCCGTCTCCCTCCTGAGCCTGTGTTGGGCCTCCAATCAGAGCTCATCCGTCGGCTTCTCCCTGGCAACCAGGGAGGTGCCAGACTGTTACCTCGGCGTGAAGCAGGCCTGTTTCAACTCTTGGTCCTCAGAGGTCATTCTTCCAGGACACCTTTCTATCACCAAAGACAGGGTGGCAGGCACGCTCTGGGCTCCCACAATGCTCGCTGGTTCTTGCAGAACTTCGGTAAGGCCATGTCACTCTCCTGATTAAATGCCCTGGTGGTTCTTGTTTCACTCAGAATAAAGTAATTCCTACGATGGCATACCAGTGTGACTCCCACGTGCCTTACTGCCCATTGTAGAAGAGAACTCTCTACTTTTCTCCCTCTGGCTGTACTACCCTTACGGTTACTTGAACATGGCAGCCACAATCCCACCTTACTTCCCTTACATTTGTTTGTGCTTCTCTGGCTCAGTATAACTTCCTTTGTCTTTGCTCGCTTTCTTCAAAGGACTTCTTGTCCATTCTGTTTAACACTGTAGCCTCCCATCAGGTGTCTGTGTGGGATCCAGCTGCCACTGGGACATCCCTCTTCAGAGAGAGCACCATTTCATTGTGTGGTCACTATGTATTTAACTGTCTCTCTTCCTAACTTGAGTGTCAAAACAGGAATCTGTTTAAACACAGTTCACTTCTGAGTGCTTCATGAACACAAAGAAACACAAGGAGAAAAAAATACTTGGTTTATTTGAATGTATCTTGAGAAACAAGTCCAAAACAGTGTAGACAGCACTACCCAACAGAACTTTTGGCAGTGCTGGAAACGTCTTGTAGCTGTCTTCTCATGCACCTATGTAGGTACTGGAGATCAGTTTGACTGAAAAACTGACCTTTTAATATAATTAATTTAAATAAGTCTATTGCTAATGTCCTGAACAGTACAGGTCTAGATCATCGGTTTCCAAGTAGAAGCAGTTATGCCCCTAGAGGGGACATTTGCCAATGTCTGAAAATGTTGTTTGTCACAACTAAAGGAGGGCATTTCTGATGTCTAGCAGGTGGAGCCCAGGGTCACTGCTAAACATCATGCCATACACAAGTCAGCCTCCACAACAAAGGATTATCTGATCCAAATGTCAGCTGTGCTGACTTTGAGAAACCTGGTCTGGATGATCTAGCACCTGACCTTTATTTTATTTTACTTTATTTTTGGTACCAGGGATTGAACTCATGACCTCACACTTCCCAGGCAGGCACTTATGCCGCTGAGCTAAATCCCCAGCCCTAGCACCTAACCTTTAATAAAGGCAAACTCAACTGCAGATCAGGAACTGGAATTGGCTATTGGTCCTGGGCTGCTCCAGGGACAGATATACTCAGAAAACCTCAAGAAAGTCCATGAAGCGCTTCCTCCATCAGTCAAGCAACAGACATTTACTAGGCCACTATGTGGTAGGGCTGGTGTCAAGAGCCGGGCAAGGACAGGGATGGATCTGATCTTCCATGTGGCACTGCCTGGCCTGCCCTTTCCATTCAGGCTCCTTGTCCTGCTGGAATATGAGTCGATGCTGGGAGCACTAAAGGTTCTAGCAACAACACCTAAGGCTCTCTGTGTCTCTGGCCCCACAAGGCATCAACTGTTTCCCTCATCTTCATAAGCAATAGCAATCCCTCTTCTTCCACTCACAGCTTCTGTCACTGGTGTCTGACCCAGACGGGGCTCCAGTCCCTTCCAGCTCCGGGAACTAAGGAACGAGGCTGTAGAGGGAGAGAGAGTTTGGGCAAAGTGAGCTGGAAGCTAAAGAAAGATTTCAGCAGGGGTAGAGACTTCCATACTTACCTGCGGGGCTGCTCTCAGTCAGTTCCAGCTGGGGCCGTGGGGTCAAGGCAGAGCATCCAGGATCAGTCAGAGGCGCCCGGGCCAGTGGGGGTCGGAGCTCCCCAGAAATGAGTGACACATCTGGGGTATCCCACAGCTCTGACTCAGGTGGTGGGAGGGGCACATGGAAGGGAGACCCTGGAAGGGAGGGAGCAAGGAAATCCATACTGGTCCCCCAACTCCAAGTTTCCAGCTACCCCAAGTTTCCAGCTAAGGCAATACCCTACCACTCACCAGGCAACAAGTCCGCATAATGTGTGAGGTAGGGAGCCAGGCCTGGAGGCGGCCAGGCAGGGTTACAAGCAGCCTCCAACTCACATGGTGTCAGTATAGGCCGGAAGAAGTTACCCGAAGGCTGCAAGGCTAGTGCACCCAGAGGACAGGCCAAAAGCACAAAGACATCCATCTCAGGAAAGTTGGCAAGCTTGGCAGGGGTGGGCCGCCCCAGAGCCAACACATAGCTGCGTTTGCCAGCAGCCTGAGACAAGTTCCGCAAGTGTGCTAGTGCCTCACAGTGTCGGGCCACACCCAGTGTGCCCACTAACAGCCCTACCACATGGGCATCTCTGGCCCTCTCTACCAAATACCATCTTCGTGCCCTTAGGCGTCCAGCCCGGACACTCTCATCCTGGGTCTGTCCCGTGTCTGGGCAGCAGGAGAAGAAAGGCTGCCCTGGTGCCCAACCCAAGAGCAGCCGGGTCAGGTCTGGGTCAAGGTCAGAGTCAGGACCAGCCTTAGAGCCCCCCACATAGAAGGCACCATATTCTTCCAGGCACCTCCCTGGGGTCAAGGGGAAGTAGCGCCCAAAACGCTCCAGTGGCTCAGGCTCTGGGCTGGAGGACCCTGATGGTGAGGGAAGAGCTGGGCTGGAGACAAGCAGGTCCTGATATTTAGGGCGCAGGACAGTGGCCAAGGCCTCTAGAAGAGAAGAAGATGGGGTCAGGGTTGGGGTTTGACAGAACAGGCACTCCCTTATCCCTAGGAGATTAAATGTGACCTAAGAGCAAAGACCTGGCCAAAGAGCTCTACAGGAGTGTGCTAAAATGGGGAAATAAAGCCATACAGCCATAGCCCACCCTTCCTTCTTGCTCAGGCATAACCCCTCACCCAGAGCATGGGCACAGGCTGGTTCACTCAGCAGCACCACAGGGGCTGTAGGGTCTGGGTTCTGCACTTCAAAGGCCTTGGCACAGAGCTCCAAAGCCACAGAACGTTGGCCAAGAACGAAAGCGATGGGCAGCGGCCGGGCTGGGGGACTTAAGCAGGCGGTGCCAAAGTGAACAAGGGCCTCGGCTCCAGCCTGTTCAGCACCCAGTACATCCACACAGCAGCTGCAGAAGAGATACCAACAGTGAAAGCAGTTCCCATCTGGAAGTGAATTACTGTCATCAATGGGAAACATGTTCACAGAACAAAATGGTGACATGAAAAGAGATCTCTAAGGGTTGTTAGCATCAGGAGGGGTGTTACTATCAACATGGAGGAACACAAACACTTGTTACAGCAGGGAAACCCCATGCAGCCTGGATTCCAGACCTAGCCCACTTAAACCTGAGGTCACACCTGCCATAGGCCGTGTCCCCTAAAATAAACATCTTCGACCCTGTAGTCTCCTCCAGGCGTGCAGCCACGGCCCCTGCGTCTCCTAATAGCTGGTCAGGGAACTGCAAGGCCACCTGTAAGCATAAACCACGCAGTCAGGAAGAGCTTCACGTCCCCCTCCCCTATTCCTGCCGAGGGCCTTCTTACAGGAAAGTTTTCCTGGAGCCTCCACTCAATTTCAAGTTTACTGGTCCCAGGAGTGCACTCTGTCCCACGAAATGCGTGGCTGGTGGCCCACCCTTTGCGGACAGACTCCGATTCCCCCATTCCTCTGTGTTTACGAAATCCTCCTAGAGTCCTGTCTTCTAGGCCACCCATCTCAAGTGAATCACCACTCCCTAAGTCTGCCTCACCCGTTGACACCGTAGGTCGCGGACAAATCCAGTAACTCGCTCCAGCTCGTACACTCGGTCGAGGTCAGCGAGAGAAGTGAGCAGTCCCGGGAAGCCCGCCTCCCGCTGCAGGACTGCCTCCGCCGGACTGCTGAATGTAGACTCCATGAGGCACGACTTGGGAGGCGCGGTGCAGCAGGGGCTCTCTTAGGGCCCCGCGTCCTCAGAAGCAGTCTTCCAAAGCTCCGAATCGCTTTGCGCCGCCGCCGAGCCACCCAGTATGCTCCAACCCCTCCAGACTTCAGCATCCGCACAATACACGCGGCTATCCGCGGAGGTTACTTCCGGACGTGAGGCGAGACTGATTGCAACTCTACCAATCCTAAACTAGCACCACTCCTGCCCTCCAATCCCCGCCTCCATGACTCACAGAGAACCAATGACTGGCGCGTACGGGGCCGGTCGGAAGTTTCGTACACAAAGGTGCTGAGCCCTATGGGAGTTGTGGATCTGGGCTCTGCTCGCTTTGGGCTTTCCGAGGTTTTACCTTTACGCTGTCTGCCTTCAGGAGCCGTCTCACGAAGGCATTACTGCAGTGCGAGTAGCTCCTACCCACCGATCGCGCTAAACATTTCGTATATATTGGATAATTTTAAACTCAGTGCGGACTTTCTTTTTGGTAATAAGAATTTAACACAGGATCTTGTGATTGCCAGGCAGGTGCTGTGCCGCTGAGCTAAATCCCTGGTCTTGGACTACCTTGATTTTTAATATCGTGTTTGGCCACTTGTCACAGAGTACTATAGCTCAGGAATGTCTCTGCGCCCTGTTTCCTTATCTGCAGAATCGGAGCTTTAATAGTAGTGTGGTTTGTTGCAAAGTCAAACTAATTTATTAAACTGTACAAAGTTGTTCTTTCATATCCCATTTGCTTTATTCTCACAGAAATGCCAGTCCAGTGAACACTGAATGTTTACTATTTGCCAGGCACCATGTTAGTCTTTTGAATAAGAGTTAACTCATTTTAAGACTAAAGAAACTGAGGTATGAAGAGCTAATAAGATGCAGTAGGTCAGTGGCACAATCAGTATCAAAAAAGCTAATCAGCACTCAGTCTCCTACCTTATATGTACTACATTTGTTGTGGGGAGGGCTAGAGGAGGGGGAGGGCTAGGAGGAGGTACACATTCAGACACCATATGGTAGGAAAAAAGGACTAAACTACGTGGAACATCTCCACATATGCCAGAAGTGAAAAATGATAAGGTGAGAATGAATTGAGGACTTGTAGGGGGACGGTGTGGCTTTCATGGGACAGGGTGACGGGACTGATGTCAGCTGGCATAGGAGGTTGAGTGAGGAAAAATAGGAGATCCCAGGTTCATGCAAAAGCTGGGAAAAGAACACGGAAGATATGCGAGTGAATGTAACCAGCTCCCCCATCAATTATGGATGGGAGTGGGGAGAACTCAGTCCTGCCATTTAGATTTTTACAGAGGATTACTCAGGATAGGCTCCTTGAGAGACACTTTGGGTGAAATTATGGCTAAGGAGACCGAAAAGTAAGCAACCCTGCTAGAGGAGGAATAGGCTAGGAGCTGTCCCTGGTCCTGACTAAGCTTTGAGGTTTGTGAGGAAGGTGCCTAGAAATGGCGACGGGTATGCAGGCCACACAAGGTCTTGCCTTTCTCCTCCTCTTCCGTGTGCTGCAATGCCTTCTCTCCCATCCCCCCACCTCCTTCCCTCAGGTACTTCTTATAGTCTTCCTCAGTCACGTGCATGTTTGGGTGCTTTAAAACCCCACATCAGACACCCATCCTGGAACACAAAGCCTCAGTCGTTTTTTCCTCCCAGCTGGACCCAGCTAAACACCCCATCCTGTGTTTAGGATGTCTCCTTTTCCCATCAAAAGCAAACCCTCCTCCATGCAGACTCTCCTCCCCACTTCTAATTAGCTTGGTAGCTTTCGACGAGACAGCCTTTATTTTTAGGACAGAGCTCAGGACTAATACTCAACTCTCTTGATTCAATGTAAACAGGTACGCATGCTGAGATTAATTTGACAGGGGCAGGAGACTGCTAATGCTACTGCAGCCACCTATCCTTTCTCCCATCCCAAGGGCAATGGCAAAATTCTAAATGGCTCCAGTGTAGGCAGCTCAGCTATAGCAGTTCTTCTCCCAGCCCAGGAAGTAGAGGGTATCCCCTCCATTCTTGACCAAGGCCTAGGTCCAAGCATCCTTTTTTTTTTTTCACGCTCACCACGCAGGCGCTTATGCCACTGAGCTAAATCCCCAGCCCTGTCCTCCCATCCTTTCCCCAGGCTTCTGGACCTAGTCTTTCAGTTAGGGGATAGTAGCAGCAGAAAGGAAACAAGAGGCCGTAGTGAGGGTCCAGGTTTTACTCTTTGTGGATAGGAAATGATGAAGAGAGTAGGTGTGGGACGGGATGCCCCTCAGTAGTCAGCTGTGTAATCTGTGCCATGTAGCCCCCGACACAAAAGTGTGAACTCCTTCACCATCTCCTTCACCCGCCTCTTGTTCATTCGCTCACTGAAGGAGAGAAGCGAAAAGAGGTTAGCATCATCCACCAACTTCCACCTCTTTCCTACCACAGCCCCCAGGCCCGGCCCAGCCCTGCTCACCGAAGGATCTGCTGACTAAAGGTATCCTTCTGTTCAGGGCTGAGGCGGGCAGAGGGAAAACCAGGTGGTTGTAATGCCTCCTTGATCCACATGCTCAGGAGACTGAAGCAGTGTTTGTTCAGGGCGAAGAGGATGTCAGCAAAGCAGTCCATGAGGCTTCGGGAGGCCTGGCCCCCAATGGCCTTGAGGGAGAGTGCCTCTTAGTACACCAAGGCCTTGCCCCTTCTGCATCAAGGACGCCTAACCATGCCCCAGGCTCTCTGGGACAGTTCTGTACCTGAACTATACAAGTGAGCAATGCTTTCTGAGTGCCAGCTGATCCTCAGAGCAACCCTAATATCCTGCTATTTAATTGAGGAAGTTATAAAATCCAAGAGCTTAGGCACCCAAAGGCTCAAGCCTCCCAGAAAGCCAGCTCCCTCAGCAGCAAGGGCCTCCCATCCCCAGCAACACCCATCTTGCTCCAGCTCACCTCCAGCACTGCTATGAGCAGCATACGACCATCCTCTTGTACCACCTTGCCCACGGACTCTACTTCCCCACACCGAGGCAACAGCTCTGTCTGCAGGGGATGGAGAAGCTGTCAGCCCCAGCTCCTTCCCACCTCTCCCTAAGGATGACACCTGGGCACTACACCCTACCCTCTGAAGTTCTGGGCAGGGCAGGGCAGGATAGGGCAGGGGGATAGAGATCTGCATAAGACTCACAAAGAAGCCACAGGAGGCCTTGACAGTAGGTGCCTCGGGGAACTTGAGGGCCAGCACAGCTGTAGGAGAGGTAGAGACAGATCAGATGGGACCCAAAGAGCCTCCCAGGGGAGTCCTAGCCCACTTGTCCCCCTGGTCCCACTTACCACACTGGAACACAGCTTTGACATCCAGTCGTTCACACAGGAACAAATCTGGCTTCCGCTTCAGAGCCTGTGGGAGGTGGAGCTGGTAAGCCCAGCTCCAGCCAGCTCTAGAGATCATCTCCCCCATTCACCTGCCACCTCATCTCCTAACATCACATATCACAGGCAGAGTCTGCCATTCAGACATCTCTGGGGGACCCTGACCACCCCAGAATTCATTTGGCCAGGGAAGGAGCAGCCTAAGGATGCTATATGCATGTATGTGTACATGAATGGATAGGTGTGCCCGACTTAGGTTAGGGGTGGGGATCACAGTGTAGAAAATGTGAGTCCCAAGTCACTCTTTGAGCAAACACCTTCAGTTCTCTCCTCAATCAGGGCCAGTCCTCCTGCCAATAGTGACTTTTACTTTGATTCACAGAGGAAATCGAGGCCTCTGGGCTCGTGAACAAGGCAGCAAGAAAAAGAAACAGCAGCTGGACATGGAGCCCCCAGTTCAACAGGCCCCCTCCTGCGTCCTGCAGCCCCATCTTTTGCCCAGGATACCCTGTGTACAGGGCCTTCTCAGCCATACCCACCATACCCACCTCCTACTAGGGGCCAGTGCTGCCACTGAAGGAGGAGGAATAGAGTAAAAATACCAGGACAAGTTGTACCAGGACATGACTGGCACATCCTCAGTCAGGAGATGGTTGACACTGCTCCAGCAGTTCTCAAACACTGCTGTTCCCCAGCAATGCCGCCAGCTTACACCACACAGGCCCCCACCCTACAACCCCTCACATACCTTCTACATCCATGTTTATTATTGTGCACACACCCTGACATGCACCCTCTCTGGAAATGCTCTGTTCACAAGCTGCTATCATACCCCTTACATACACACTTTCCCACACCTGCAACACATCCCCACTACACAATCACACACCCAAACTCGCCCACATCCCAAACTATCCACACCCAGTTTGTCTACACCTGTGTCCCCCAGCACATGTACACTCTCCCAACACACTCGCAAATACACAAATACCCTCTCCACCAAAGATACAACCTTGCAGATACCCACAAACATTTCCATTCAGGCCCAGAGTACTCCCTATTCCTCATTCTTCCCACCCACCTCCAGCTAGACTGTAAGTTGCAGGACAGAAACAACCACTTTATCTTCAGGGTCTAGCAGAACACCAAGCATATATTACGTAATAAATATCATGGAATGATTAAGCAGAAAAACATTTCATTTATCCCAACTCACAGGATCTCCCCAACCCATAGAGAACCCTTCATCACACTAACTCATGCTCTCACAGCCCAATATACATATCTGCCGAGCTACTCACTCTAATCTAGAGGCATCAACACCAAAACGTAGAATCCTATCATCTGTTAAAAACACAATTTCATAGTCCCCACACACATCTGCGACACACATCCATCCTCAACACTCATCAATGCCTCACACAATGACAACACAAAACACACAACATACATCAGTGTACAACATGCATCAAAACATCTACTCACGCTTCAATTTCACATTTAATACCCAACTACTTACAACAGGTGATTTCTGTTCCTTTCCTAAACCCAAATCAAAACATACAAAGTAAGATGTAACACACTTAGACACACACAGACACAAACATATCCTAATGTAGTCTCACAGTGGAGGCTGCAACCACTGCCCAGTAGCAGCGCAACCTCTCCATCAGCCGAGCTGGGCTCCACCATGCACATTCACCTGTAGACCCTTCTTTTGGAGCTTCTCCCAGCCCATCTCTCAAGAGCAGACTGGGAACAAGGAGGCGGGCAGTTCCCGGCAGGAGCACGGGGACAGAGAAGCCCAGGCTCTTGAACTCCAGCCCTGCCCTCAATGTCCTGGGTAAGCCAGCTACACAGCAACTGCTGGACACAGTCACTGTCCCCCATCCCACTCCCTCCAGGCCAGCCCAGCCCCCGCCCTCTGGACCAGCCTCTCCCTGGTCTTTATAGGAAACTGAACTAGTTGAGGCAAAGGGGCACTAAAGGAGGATGTTGGGTTGTCAACTTCCACGGAAACAGATGAAGAAACTCTATTCAACTGAACAGAAAAAAAAATTTGTCAACAGAAAGCTAAAAATAGGCTTAAATTGAATTTCAACATAAGAGAAAGAGAAAGAGAGAGAACAGAACGTGAATGAATAAAACTAAAACACACCTGTGCCAGGAGTTGCATAAATGAATCAACAATATCAGGATGATCCCTGGGCCCTAAAATATAATAAAGATGGAACTTAAGAAAAATCATACAAACAGCAACTCAACCTCATATAGTTATGTGGGACTGAGAGCCTGCAGGGAGACAGCGTGGGGGCACATGAGCAGCAGGAAGCAAGATAAAGAAACAAAACATACAAAAACCATGAACTGGGAAAAGCCCAACAAAAAGAGACGGCAAAGTGAAGGACGGGCCTGCCCCAGCTCCCCCCAAGGGGCCTTCCACCTACTCCCACTCCTCCTCAGGCCAGCCCCCCATCCCTTGGTGCTTGAGCTATTGTGAATTCCACATAGCTAAAGAAACAGTCCCCACACTCACTGTGGCTTCTGACAGGCTGGAATAACCCTACACTGCTTCTTAGTGTATACCTCCCCATCACAGCCATGGAAGAGGATAGCAGGACTGGTTGTGTGGGTCTTCGACACCTCCATCTGAAACCACATGGTCTAGGGCATCAGGGCCTTACTAAGTGCCTCTCACTTCAATGGCTTTAGGGCTCTTGGCTTGCCCAGAGAAAACGATTGTATTTGGCCCACTTAAATCAAAGGATTCCTTTTGGGTAGGAATATATCTGAGTGCTGTGTGCTACAGGGCTGGCCAGGCAAGTTGCTGGCAGGGCTCAGGGAAATATACAGCATCATAGGGCTCAAAATGAGAGCCCTATGCAAGCAAAGTTCCCTCCATTAAGGACAGAGACCTCTCAGAGAGCCAAGCTCAAGGCTGAGGACCAGCTTCCAACACCTGGAAATGCCAAGAAAGAGGGAAACCTGTCCAGGTCTCACCCCATAATCTAGAGGGAAGGCAGAAACAAGGAAGCCTAAGCACTGGGATGGCATAATAGGGATGGGGGCCATTCTGCCCAGTAAGACAATCAACAGCCCCAATCAATGTGATGTTGGAAACCTCCACCTCCAGTTCTGCTAACTCATGGCAAGAACGAGGCATGCCCAGGCTTCTCTACTCACAGGATGAAGGGGTGCAAATACATCTCCCTGAGATACCACTAAGTAGCTGTGTGATCTTGCGCAAGCCACAAACACTCAGTTTCCCCTCTTAACAAAGATAACAATCTCTTCCCTGTTTCTTTCTCTAATGTACTAGGAGCCAGTAATAAAGCTTGTCCCTCTCATCCCTGAACCCTGAGTTGCTCAAGTCCCAGAAAGGCCCAAAGTGTTCCATGCCTGGGTCCTACTTCATAACAGTGGGTTCAGTGATCAAGTGGCCTCCCTTGAGGTGGGTCAAACATGGAGGAAGAAAGGTTCCATGGGCAGGGAGCCTTCATATTCCTTTATTTAACAGCACTTGAGTTCTGCTGTTCACTAGCCTCATTATGAACACTCGGGATACAGAGAAAGGAAATTCAACCTTGACCTTGAGATGTTCAGTCTATGAAGAGAGACAGATATGACTGCTGTTGTGTGTGGCTGGTGCTGTATCAGCAGGGAATATATGATGTAGTTTTGGCATAGCATTAAAAGCACCGAACTCTGCCTCAGAGGTGCTTTTCTAAGGACTGAGGCAGTCTTCCTTCCAAAGCATGAAGGAGTAAGAGTTCTTCCAGTAAAGGGTAAGTGGAGGGCAGTCCAGACTGAGGAGAAGGCACAGATTTAAATAGGACATGGCAAGTAAAGAGGTAATGTGCTATGAATTCTGCAATCAAAAGGTTACTGGCAGGGGAAGACATCAGAGGTACACCTGAGCTTTGTCATATAGGTGGGAATGGGACAATAACCTGAAGGCATAATTAAAGACTTTAAGCCAGGGAGAAAAATATGCTCAGATTTGTGTTTTATTAAGAACATTATGATTGCTTTATGCAAAATAAATTGGAGAGGAGGACAGATGTGAAGGCAGAAGGCTGTTGAGGTAATTCAGCTGAGACCCTAACCTGAAGCACAGGCCACGGAGGGTGAGGAGGAGTGGGCCAACTGAGGAATGAATACAGCCATCATGGGAACTGTCTTAGAGGCAGTACAAGGAAAGGAAAGGTGAAGTTGAAACGCTTGAGTTTTTGGCTCAGTATTCTCCCCAGTTTGAACATACCCCATCATTGCCCACAGAAAGAGAGGTCAGGCCAGCAGGACCAGACTGAGGATATGAGCAGACAGTACTCTGGGCTCCAGCCGAGATCCCTGATGGGTCTCAAACATGGGGCCACAAATCCAAACAAGACTCATAAGGCTGGTGGAGCAGCGCTGTCACTTTCCCAGGTAAGAAGCCTGGATTAGACAGTAAGCAAAGGCTAGAGGCCTGCTCCCACCTCTTCACCTAAAGCAGAGGGCCACAGGGAGTGGTGGCTTGGACCATCACCAAAGGTACTAGGCTTTGGATCTAGAGTTTTTCTTCTTTTGGTTTTTTGAGAGGTCATCTCACTAAGCAGTCCAGGCTAGCCTTGAACTCTGAATCTTCCTGCCTCCTGAGTGCTGGGATTATAGGCATGTGCACCACACCTAGGTAAAAGGAATAAATTCTGATTGGGGTGGTGAGCAATGTGCTCCCAGCACTCTGAGTACTTCATTTGCAAAAACCCCAAGCCAGGGCCCCACAGGGAGCAACCTGAGTATCTATAACAACCCTATCAAGTGTGTAATAACTGCATTTCACAGGTTTGGAAATGAGGCTCAGCAAAGGTAAGTGACTTGCCCAAGGTCACACACCTAGTTGGTGGTGAATGAGTTTAGACTCTAGACTTGACAGTCCATGTGCTTCCCACTTTTTATTATATCCCAGAGGAAAGAAGTCATTCTAGTGCCCAAAGCCCCAAAGAGGCTCATCCCCACTTTCCCCCATATCCTGGCTGGCCTGAGCCTAATAGGCCAGTAGAAGGCATCACTTCAACCTAAAGTGTCAACTATTTGTTAGGTGGCAATTGTGCTATACTTCATCCCACAAGTTTCCCAAGTCTCATGTTTGATTCAGGGGACAAAGGAGAACAGAGTGAGTAGCTTTGACTCCCCAGTCAGGGAAGCAGAGGCAGTGGCAGTGGCGGCAGCAGCAGAGACCCTGGTCAGAACCTACCTTGCTGGAAGAGAGTGAGTGTGACGGAGGTGACGAGCAGGAAGAGGGCCTCAATCGGGGGAAAGTGGGCAGGCTCATGAGCAAAAATGTGGACCAGCTACAACAAAGCAAGGAATGCTGCTCAGCAAAGGCCCATGTCACCAGGTCAGGTCAACATTCCTAGAACACAGGAGGGGACCCCAACCACAGAAGCTGTCTCACAGACCTCCACCCAGGATCAGATCTCTCACTAGGAGGACTCTAGAATACTGGCTGTCCAAGCCAAAAGGCTCACCTGTCGAGTGAGGTCAAGAGCAGAGGCCTGGGGGATAGTGCTGTACATCCGACCCAGCATTTCGCACAGCTGTGGCACCATGGGGGCAAAGTCATCCAGCAGTGTCTTTACAGATTTCTCAAAGATAGCGCATACCGCCTAGGAAGAAAGTAAAAGGACCCTGGTCCCTTGGCTTCTGACCTGGTCGGCAGGTCACAAATGCCTGGAACAAAAGGGGCTTAAGAAAGGATCCTGATCTAGAAGTCTGGCTGAGCCCTACAGACCAAGGGCAAACAATCTGACCTTCACCCCGAAAGGCAGGGGTCAAAAAGTCCCTCTATAGAGGGGCACAAGGGACACAGGCTGTACCTTTGTCACTTAACTCCTGTTACTTACATCTCCACCATTTCCTTTCAGGGAGCACCAACAAAAACTAGAATTGAAAAAGCACCAAAGGCAGGTCTCTGATGCTGCAGCAGATGCCTGGCTACCACTCAGTCCTAACATCATAGTCCTTTCACTGAAAATCTCTTGGAATACCAGAGGATTCTAGACTGGGGCACGAAGTTGAACAGAGATTCCTTGAATTGGTGGGGCGAGATTTCCCTATCCTGTCTCCTCGAGACAGGAACAAGCAAGCCCAAGTGGGCAGCAAATTTTATCCCTGCTCTACCTCAGCAGTCACCATGGGAGCAGAGAGCAAGGGTCAGGGCTCACCTCAACCACCTGGGCATCGTTCAACCACTTGCTCAGCACCTTCTGGATAAGCTGGAAGACCTGCTGCAGTACCACCACCACCTGAAGACACAGGGAGAAGTGAGGTGCCCCACCACCACTGCCTCCCACCTGAGAGGGACCTGGTGGTAGACAAAAAACAAGGAGTTCAAACCATTTTCCCCAACTTCATATTGAGGACTCAATGCAGGGTACCCCTGGGGAAAGAGTAGTTTGCTGAAACCTTCAGGGATAAAAGGGAAGAATATCCTGAATTCCAGGGGTTACCTCAGAGCAAGCTTCAATCTGCAAAGCAGGGACATCATGAGTGCTTCATAATATTATGACAACTTTGTAAGCTTTTTTTTTTTTTTTAACTTTTTTTAACTTTTTTTATCGGTACCAGGGATTGAACTCACGACCGCCTGCTTGCAAGGCAGGTGCTTATGCCGCTGAGCTAAATCCCCAGCCCAACTTTGTAAGCTTTTGATGAAACTGAGCATGGTGGTGCACACCTATAATCCCAGCACTCAGCCAGCTGGGGCAGGAGAATCACCACAAGTTCAAAGCCGGCTTACACAGTGACATATCGAGTTCAAGGCCAGCCTGAAATACATAGTGAGACCCTGTCTCAACAATAAAAAAAGAAAGAAACAAACACTACTCCTTATCCACTTCTGCTCAGTAAAACCAAAGTAACAGAGATTTTGTCTCACCCAAATAGGCCTGGGGTATGGGAGCTCCCAAGGGATATAGAGATACAGACAGTTTATGAAGGAAGAGATCAGACTGTGGGCCAGTGAGGTAAGAGATGGCAGGAGGATGACCACTACAGAAGCAGGGGCTCTGACAACACTGGTCCACATTTGGTTTGGGGCCAACACTGGCCCAAGGTAACTGAAACTGGGGCAGGGAGTTGAACTACAAGGTCAAGATGCCATGGCTTCCTTGTCTCCAGGGGAATTCCTGGACAGAGTTCTAGAATCAATGGCCAAAGCAGTCCCTCATGTTTGTACAGAATTTTACAATATGTAAGCTATTCTCACTCGAAACCATATCTGCACAGTCCTAAAAGATGAGCAAGCCAGATATTCTGAGGTTCATAGTTCGAATGGGAAACTGAGGTTTACCTCAGGCCAAATAGCTTGTAAGGGGTTACTCCTGTGCCCAAGCTTATTAACAGATTTGCAGAAATCTGTTTACATGTATTTCCTCTAGACTTGCAGTAACTCAAAGGTCAGAATCATTACATGTGGAGCAAGTGAGCATTCTCAGTGTCTATAGGGCACAGTGAATGTTAAAGAGAAGGCCCCGTAGAGTTGGGGTTAGAACAAAGACCCGTAAGAATAGCTCTTGAGGATTGAAGGATAATGTCACCATCCCTCAGGGGCAAACAAACATGAATGACATCATTCCAGTTGGGCTGGGGACAAGAAAAGTATCATTCAGAGGGTTGAATGAAACACGATACTGCTTCATACCACTTGGGGGGGGGTGGTAAATGATAAGGTCATTCCTAGGGTTAGAGGACCAAATACATTATCCCTTTGGGGCCAGGGGAGCAATGACCACATTACCCATAGAGTTGGGGAGTAAAAATGACATTCTCATGCGGGAAGTAGCAATGGCAAAGACAATGTCACCCACAGGGTTGGGTCCCTGTGGCACTGGCAGCTTCCGGAGCTCAGGGCCTTCATGATCGTCCTCATGATGACTGACGTCCAGTGTTGTAAAGAGGTTGGAAAGGAGCCCCAAGATGTGGACAATGGCCAACTTGTTGGAGGGATTGGGCTATGGAGAGAAGCAAAGCAAGCTCAGATCTTCTGGTTACCGGTTGGTCCCCAGATCACTTAGCCTCAGTCCTTTTTTTCATTTTTATTGGTACCAGGGATCGAACTCATGACCACCTGCTTGCAAGGCAGGTGCTAATGCCACTGAGCTAAATCCCCAGCCCCCTAGCCTCAGTCCTAAAGGCCAGTTCCAACCCCACCCCTCAGCAGCCACAGCTCACAAGAGGAAGCCCAACTTCCAACACTGCTCCTGGCCCCAGAGCTCACTCACTGTCTCCTCCGCCAGCTTCTCCAGCTGCTGGATATAGGGTGAGATGAGTGAGTGCAGGTTCTTCAGGATCTCCTCCACCTGCAGGGCTGACAGCAGAAAGCCCAGCGCCTGCATCAGCCACATGCATTGGCTTGTCTGTGGGACAGAAAACACAGACAACTACATCTGGTTGTGGAGGAAGGAAAACAAAGCTCTTGGGGAAAAAGTCAAAAAGAGAGAATAAGAGATAAGGTGCAAAGGAGGAAGACTGGATTTGGGGCCTAATGGATTCCTGTAAGACCCTGGAGAAAACCCCTAGAAATTTTTGGGCCATACCTTGTGGATCTGTTTCATCAGTACATCCTAGGAATAAAAGAAGGAACATGCTATTAGGACAGTGCAGGGTAGCCTGAGGCCCATCATCACTGAGAATGTCCCTTACCTGGGAGACAGCTACGATGTTGGCAGCATAGGGTGGCAAATCATACTTGCACTCTCGGCAGATCTTCTTGAGGGTGGACACAGAAGAAACAGACAGCTCAGGATTGCCTAGGGCATGCAGCACGAGGGGCAGGACACTGTTGATCATAACAGGGTGGTCAGCCAGCCATTCAGACAGAGCTCCTGGAAGAAGAGAAAGGGAAGCATCTCTGAGGCAGGCTAGGCTGGCCATGTACCACATGCCTGAGGCAAGTTGGGCTCTTGGCAGGCTCAAGTTGCAGCTCCATTGCAGAGGAGCACTTGTTCAGAGGACATAATGGACAAATATGCTTGTGCATGGCAAACATGAACCTCACACCTGAGGAACAACAAAGAGTCACTCAGATGTGCAGAATTGCTGTTCCATTGACGGTGGACTAGCCTCATTGAAATGCGTTTCAAAAAAAAAAAAGAAAAGAAATGCGTTTCAGTACACAGTAGGAAGGACCCCAAGACTTGCCAGGACCTGCAGTTGACTGCATTGTTATGTATGGTGGCATATGTCTCTTTTTGGATAAGACCCAGCAGAGATGGGTGCTGTGCTCTAGGAATGTGGTCATGGGTGTACACCCGGTCTCACCAATGGTGAACATGACAGTATCTGCCAGCTGTACATTGCTGATGCTGATCCGTGGGATGAGACCAATGAGCCCAGGCACTACATCAGAATAGTTGACATCGATGGTCTCTGCGATGGATTGGAAGCCATAGAGGAGGGCCTCTGTATGCTAGGGAAAGAGGATACCAGGGGCTTAGCTGAAGACGAGGGTATAATAAGTCAGGAAACTGAGGGAATCAGCTTTGGGATGTACCTGCCAGGAATAAGGCTCTTCTGAGCTGGTGAGCACACGGCCCAGCTTGTCATAGAGGTTGCTGAGCAGCTCGGCCCCCAACATCTCATAGACATACATGAGTGTGTCTGAGATGTCCACCCTGAAGAGCAGATGAAGGCCTTTTTACTGCCTGGATTGTGATCTCAAGCCCAAGAGCCCACCCCAAACCCTTACAACTCTGCAAAGATCCCTCAAGACCAGAGAAAGGAGCCCCAGAATTTAGAAATCCTAGCTTGGGCCCTTTCTCTTATTGCTTTTGTTATTACAGAACTCCCTTTATAATTAGTGTTGGCCTGCTACTATCACCTGTAAATTCGGAACTGCTCCTTCTCATCTGAGGACCAGAATCCATATTCCTCATCAGAAGGAAACTGGGCCTTGTGCAAAAGCACATCCACCAGCTGGAAGTAGACAGGGCGGTATACCTGCTGGTACACAGCCTGCTTCTCCGCCTCGAAGGACAGAATGTCATCCTGAGAGAGCCAAGGAAGAGAGTTAACCACCATACATCAGACATGGAAGCCCACCGTCTACCCTCTTCATGGTGGCCCAGTCCTACTGAGAGTCTCCCAGACACACCTGCAGTGTGTACCAGAAGGTGAGAGTTAGGGAGCTAGTGGTCTCATTGACAGGATAATGGCCAGGGATGCCAGTGCAGAACATGATCATGTTGACAAGTGCCAGGAAACTCTGCCAGTGCTCTACTTGGTCCAGCAAGGCCCTGGGGAAGAAGAGACATAGTAACGTTATTCCACTGCCTGAAGGTGAGTCTCATACCCCACCTATTAGAGGGCTTTGCTATCCCACCACCAGCTGCCCCACTCCCTACCGAGAATGGTTTTCACCCAGGGCCACAGCGATGCGACAGATGCCATGGGAAGTCTCCATGTCCCCATTCTGCACTGCCTGTCGCAGTTGTTCCTGTAGTCCCAGTACCAGCGGGATGAGTTTCAGAAGTGTGTTCACGTACCTAGGGCATAAAATGAGAAGACCCATCAGAGCTGTCTGTCCTACTCCTACTGCTATGAGAGAAAGGCACAATCTTCCTATCTTTCATCAAATCCTGGGTAAATAAAAAGGGGACAGGCAATACACAGTAGCTTTGATGTTGTTTATGTTAGGATGAGCAATAGATCCCAGACATCCAGGAAACTCTGGGAAGGAAATACGAGAAGATTAATATTATAGGTTAAATTGTGTCTTCCAGTTAAGACTGATAGTTCATGTCAGAATGAGTTAAGATTTTTAAGGAGGTTAGGATGAATGAATGAGAGTAACATCTATTTGGGGAGCAAGGTGCCAGGAAGATAACCATTATAGCTTATAGTGTGTGACAATCAAAAAGATATGTTGTTAGGTGTGGTGGCACATGCTGTATTCCTAGAATTTGGTAGGCTGAGGCAAGAGGATTGAGATGAGTTCAAGCCAGCCATAAACTAGTGAGTGTAGGCCAATCTGAACTAAAACTGAGACCCTGCCTCAAACTACACACCCCAAAAATGATACTTTCAAGTTGTAACCTCCACTGTTTCAAAATGTGAACTTACTTGGCAAAAGGGTGTAGGTGAGGTCATACTGGAGTAAAGTAGCTTCCAATGCAATATGACTGTGTTCTTGTAAGAAGACAATCGTGAAAACAGAGATATGCAAGGAGAATGTCAAGTGAGGACAAAAGTAGAGATTGCAGTTATGCAAGTGCAACACAAGAAATGCCAGGTTGTCAGCAGACCCGCCAGAAACCAAGACAGGAGTGTCCATAGGTTTCAGAAGGTGCACAGCCTTGCTGACACCTTGATTTCAGACTTTGAGCCTCTTCAATTGTGAGGCAACCAATTCCAACTATAGTAAAGGGTAGAACTACTTACTGAAACCTGGAAGGGACAAAAGTGAGCAACATAAGACCTTTAACGGGAGGTGTTAAGGTAATAGGTGTTAAATTCAGTATAGTCATGATATGCAGGTAGAAGTATTTAAAAAGATAGCATATAAAATCCTCAAGTCCACTGGACTGGTATGGCTCAGTGGTACAGCAATTGCCTATCACATACAGGGATGTGAGTCAATATGAGAGAAGACAGACAGAAATAGAGAGAAAGAAATAGAGATAGAGAGAGAAGAAGGGCTAGCTCAGTGGCATAAGCACCTGCCTTGCAAGCGCACGGTCATGAGTTCGATCCCCGGTACAAAAAAAAAAAAAAGAGAGAGAAGGAGGAGAAGGAAAAAGAGTAAGAATATACACACAGGAGTGGCACATACATGATAGTCATCAACTCATACCTGGTAATTGAACCTATGGATGGAAGTAGATAAAAATTGCTCAGGGAAAAAGTGATGAAAGAGAAAAGAAGACAGTCCAAGTCAAGAGCCCTGAAGCACAATGATGCCTAAGGGAGGAGCAGAGGAAGCTTAGTAAAAAATACAAAGGAGACAGAGAAGGTTAACTCCATTCCATCCTGTGGGGATCAGATTAAGCAGAGAAAGCCACATACTTTCTGAGGTAATTAGATGCTTAGGACCCCTCTATACTGTCAATCATAGTGTCACCACAGCAATCTATGAAGCAAAAAGAGGCTAAAGCATGCAAAAGGAATCCTATCTGAACTTGCTCCAAGCACATTTCTAGACAGCAGCCTCATAATCTTAAGTGGGAAAATGAGAAAGATTAAGAGACAACCACTCAGTGATGTGGGTGTCCTTCTCCTATCTCCATTCTGGTAAGAAAAGCCATCCATACCAGGATACTCCCAGTTCAGAGACAGCTCTAGAGGGTGCCGCCTGGAGACAGCTGGGATGGCTTCACTCTCATGACCCTGACACGGGCAGCACCACCAGACAATGGACACCTTCAGGCCAGACTCTGGCACAAAGAGCAGTGGCAGGGTCAAGCTATGTCCCACAAGCTCCCCAGTAGCTGTGATAGAGTTAGAAGGAAGTTCTCTTTTCCCTAAAGCATCCCCATTACATTCCAAGACTCCTTCTACCTGCGAAAGGTCTTGTAGACAGCAGATATCCAGTCAGGGTTCTTAGTTTGTCTCATTTGAGCCTCATAATAGGATAAATCAAGGACAACACAGTCCAAAAAGACTCAGAGTATTACACAAGGTCAAATAACAACTTAGAGACAGGGTCTAGGATAAAACAGAGTCTAGGATGAACTTCTATATGTGTATTTCCCTTTTAGTGCCCCAAAAGAAATTTCCACACAGAATCTATGCAGATCTCACTTTATATGTCCAATCCTAAGAACAGGAGTCTTTAAATGCCTAATTTACCCTTTCTCCCCAGAGAAAAGCTGATCTAGGATTAAAAATATACTTTAGGGAAAAAAAGAGGTATGTTTCAAAGGAGAGAGCTAGGAAGCAACAACAACTGTGGAGGAGCTAAAGGATGACCAGAGTGCAAGCTCAGCTGGAGAGAAGGCTAATGTCAGGTCACCAAGGGCAGGTAGTGCTCAGATAACTCAGGAATCAGACACTGAAGGTGTCCACATAGGAAACAAAACTGGATAGAAGAAATCCCAAATTTTGACTCTGGGCTAAGTTCAGCTCATTTATAGGAAAAACTCCTGCAGAGATTTCCTACTACCTGAGAACTGTGAGTGGACAAAACAGCAAGCCCAGGGCCCCAGAGGTTTCTAGGTTTGGTGGAACAAGATTGGGAAGATTTTTTTTTACAACAATCACTGAGGTTGAGTTCAAGAGGCTTGGCTCCTGTTGGTCAGCTTGAGCAGCCAGGGAAAGGCTGCTGGAGGTTCCTTGGCTGCCACTCACACACAGCTCAGCCCAGACATGCAATTAGAGCTCTGGGAGCTGAGCTGCAAAAATGGGAAGAGTTGCTAAGCAACCAAGGGGCTGCAGCCAATGGGCGCCCAAGAGACTGTGGGTTCCCTCACTGGCTCCTAGCTCTCTCATTCGTTCAGAAGAGAAGGGGCATCAATTACCTGCCAAAGCCCTTGAGATAGGGCTGGGTGGGTAAACTTGAGTGTATCTAAGGACATTTCATATCACCCAGGTATGTGCTTTGATCAGTTCCTCTTAGCCACCAACTGTCTGAACCCACTTAGCACTTGAGCTTCACGCAGCCAAGAGAGGCCTTAACCTGGGACTTGGTAAATCTTGGAAAATCTGGGAAGCAAATGTATTAACTGCCAATGTAACAATTATACCAAATAGCAACAAATAAAGCTTATGGAGTACATAGGAACCATGCTGAACACTTTACAGACATTCTCTTAATCTCTATATTATCTTATCTATCTATGAATGCATACATATATATATATATATATATATATATATATATATATATACATTTTTTTTTTTTTTGTACCAGGGATCAAACTCATGACCTTGTACTTGCCAGGCAGGCACTTACACTACTGAGCTAAGTCCTGGCCCAAAATATTCTTTTTTTTTTTTTTAAAGCAACTCTAATGCTTTGTTTCATTTAAAATTTTAAAAGGCAAGCCAGGCATGGTGGCTCATGCCTGTAATCCCAGCACTCGGGAGACTGGGGCAGGAGGATTGTTGTGAGTTTGAGACCAGCCTGGGCTACAAAATGAGCTCAAGGCCAGCCTGAACTGCATGGAGAGACCCTGTCTCAAAAAGACAAAAAAAAAAAAATTTTTTTTAAAGACAATGGTTAAGCACATTATCTATGTATGTGGGTGTGCTTCTGCCACTGATTAACAAGGCCTACTGTCTATAGCATTATTCAGGTTCTACTTCTTATCACCAATTCTAAAAGAAAACAGCTTAATGAGTTTAACAATAATTATGTGTATTTCCCTCCTCCTCTTCTCCTTCCTCCTCCTTCTTCATAAAGTTAATCTGAACACATTGACTAAGGATATAGCTTAGTGGTAGAACACTTGCTTAGCATATGTGAGGCCTTGGGTTTGATCCCCAGCACCACACATACATACAGAAAATTCCAGAATAAAAACTTACCACATATGGTAGAAAGAGAGAACACAACCACACAGGCACACACATAAAACATGTATCATATGAATCATCTATATGTACACGTAAGTGCTGCTAACTCCTCCACCCCTAGCAGAGGCCACAAAAGAACTTCCATTATTTAAGGAATCAATATATTCTTCACTGAATACCAGTGGTTGGTCTTTGCATATTAGGTATCCTATTTAAACCTTTACAGTAACTCTGTGTGTTTGATGTGATCACCTCCATTTTACTGATGAGGAAACTGGGGCTGGTAAGTGGCTGACCTAAGATCTCTGATTCAGTAAGTGGACCATCTGGGATTTAAACTCAGACATAACTAACTAATGCAGCTTGAGCCACTGGCCACTCCTCCATGTATTTTATCTTTCAACTGTAGTCTGTGATTTTATCTTTCAACTCTGCCAAGGATTCCCAAAATCCTATCTCTGGAATGTCAGTGTCAGATCTCTAGTTTTGCCATTTCTAGTACAACTTATACCAAAAGTCTGAGCAGGCTATTTTATCTGCTTAAAAATCCTTTAATAACTTCACATCATCCTCAGGATGAAGATCACAAACAAACCTGGCCCACAAAGTCTACATGATTTAGGCCTAAATCTCCTAAACTATGGTCCTTATACCCTGCTGTCTAATCATACCTGGTGATTCTTCCATCTATCTGGAGCATCCTCTCCATTTCCATCACTTCCACCTGGTTTGATACAACCTTTCAACACAGCTTGGTGTCACTTTCTCAGGGAAACCTTTACAGCCCTCAAACAAGGTTAAATGCCTCCTCGAGGCTCCTAGAGCCCCCTACTTTCTCTATCAGCTTTCGTTACATTAATAAGACTTGCCCACTCAAATACCCATCAGATTGTTAGCTCCTGACACACAGAAATTTAAGCATTCAGCTATGTCTTCCCAGTGCTCAAATCAGAGCCTAATACACTAGGTCCTCAACAAAAATTTGCCAAACATTTCACTACATTCACCTTCTTCTGGGTCCTTGAATATATGTACTATGGTGTTGCCCAATTCAGGTCTTGGCACTTGTATAGTTTCAGAAGCTAGAAACATTCCTTGTTCTCTCCAAATCTTCACCTCCTTCCCTCCCAACCAAGCAACTCTTTATTTTCATCCATTAAAAAAAATCACCAAATGTTACCATGTGCCAGGTACAAATGAGACGATGTACAGATTTATAATGAAACCATATTATGGATTAAGAAGGGAAAAACATGAAAAATACTAAGAGTTCTAAGATAACACAACAGAGAAGACCAAATTTAGTCTTAAAAATTGTGAGGAATGGGGCCAGGGATTTAGCTCAGCAGCTTAAGCATCTACCTGGCAAGCATGAGGTTGTAAATTCAATCCCTGGTACCAAAAAAAAAAAAAACAAAAAACCATGAAGATTTTGCTATGGAAGTGAAATTGACATTGAAGCAGAGGCTCAGGGGCTGGAAGGAGTAGGGGATATGTAGAAAAAACAGTGAAAAGACTGGATAGAGTGTAGCAAGAAATAAGGATGACATGAGATGCTTTGTTTTATTTAAAACTTTAAAAGGCAAGCCAGGCATGGTGGCTCACGCCTGTAATCCCAGCACTCGGGAGACTGGGGCAGGAGGAAGTCAGCATTGCCACATTGGGTAGCATCTTAAGAATTCTAAACTTTGTCCTCAATGCAGAGAGAAGCCACTAAATGGTTCTGATCAGAAAGAAAAAAATTAGATCCTCATTTTCAAAAAATCACCCTAGCTGCTAGGACAATGAAAGGTACAAGAGTAAAACAGAAGACTGGAAGAAAGCTCTGCTGAAATGTGGGGAGGGAGATGACAACAGCTTGGAACAGGGCGGTAGCAGCGGAATCTGAAAAGAATACATATGCAATATGGTCAGGAGCAGTACAGGCTGGACTTAGTGACTGAATGAGAGAAAAAGTCAAATAGTTCAGTTAAATAATTTGCTGGACGACTAGTTGTTTAATGTCTGTCTCATTCTCTTAACCATGAGCACAGGTTCCATATTTTGAACCTTGCTGGATTATATTTGATTCCTTGCTGGATTTCTAGCATAGGACCAAGTATGCAGTAGGCAAGTCATTAATGTTTACCAAACAGATGGATAAGTGGATGTGTGGCAGGACAAACAGGCTGTCACATTCTGGGCAGGTGGATAGTAGCTCACCTCTGGGCATCAGGCTGCGAGATGGCATTGACAATGGCCTCCACACTGCTGTCAAAGAGCTCTGAGTCCTGTAGAGCAGTGAAGGCAGCCTGAATGAGCGCCTCACAGTCCTGCAGTGGCACCTCCAGCTGCACCCAGCTGGAGAAGCACTTGAGCACCTTCTGACGCACACAGCTGGGTGAGCTGGGCTGTTGTAGCAGCTGTTCCAGCAGTGGGAAGACAGCCCCACACTCTACTGCCAGGCTGGCACGCACCAGGCCTTTGCGGTACTGGGGTAGGCGGCTGGTTTGGAACTCCTCGGGCAATACTGTTAGCAGCTCTAGCAGGGCTAAGCAGCGGCCCTGGCCATCCACCGGTGAGTCCTCAGCCTGGAAGAGTCGTACCATATCTGCCACAGCACATGGCCAGGCATCAGGCATCATGCTGAGGGCCAATGAGGCCAGCGCCACACACAGTCGAGTCAGCACTATCTTGGAGCCACTGGCAAAGCGGGTGATCTGAGTGAAGAGCTGTGCCTTGAGGCTTTCATACTGATCAGTGGGGATGTCACTCCAATAGCGAGAAATCTTGATGTGTAGGGCACTGGCCCCAAAGTACTGGATCTCAGGCACCTTGTCAGGCTGTAGCAGCTGCCAGCTGAAGTGCCAGGCCTGTGGGGAGACCTGGGCCTGCATCAGCCACTTCTGAGCCAGGTTCTTGTTCTCAATGTTGGGGTCGTAGTACAACTGGTGCAGGGCCTGCGGAAAGACACTGGACTGAGCAGGTGCTGGCCAGAAAAAGAGGAACTTGGTTCTGCAACACTATTCCTATACCCTAATTAGGATACTGAGCACACACGGGGAACTTGGGTTCCTTCAATATTTCCTGGGCCCAAACTCTTGTAGATACCTTGAGAGCTTAGAGTTTGCCTATGCTCTAACATATTCCCTTTTCCTTAGAGCAAAACAGTATGGGTTCAGAGAGGGGAATCCTCATAGGAAAGCAAAGAGAAGAGATTGAGCTCTTTAAGACGAGGCACTTGAGGGCAAGGCCTAGGTAGAAGGAATCATTCCAAGGGCATGAAGCTAAGCTTCAGATGAGCATAGAACACCTTGAGAGGCCCTGATCCTCCCAGGCACAAGTGCTCATATCAACTCCAAAACCATTTGCTCCCTTAGAATCATTCTTGGGTCACTTCAGACAGTGGCACCAAAGTCAGTGTGAAATCTGAGCAGGTCTAAGATTCACGCCAGGCAGCCCTGGGGCAGAAACATACTGGAACGGAGGATGAGAACACACCCCCCCCCCCCCCCGAGAGCATATGTGAGGGTTAAACCAGCTGATCTAGAGAAGCCCTGGCCATAGCTACAACCCTGGCAAATGCCTAGCCTGGCTGACAGCAGAATCCCCAGGGACCCAAATCTAATGGGATATCATGCAGTAAGAAAATAATGGCTTATCTCCCTGGTAGCACACAGAACAAGATGCCAGTATGCCAACACTGGCCAACTCAAAGGGTTAAGAGAGTCAGGCCAGGAACTTGACTCCTAAACAAGACTCTAACTAGGCTTGGCCAACTGTCCCTTATTTGGCCTCTCAGAGATGCCAAAGGAGGCAGAAAGGATGCATCCTCACCATTCACTATGACAAACAGAGTTCAAGAATAATAAGTGAACATCTGCAATCACTCCCTGCTTTCCAGCAAAGTAGCCTCATCTTCCCAGTCATCCCATGGGGCATGCATTCCTGTATTCCAGGCTGCTGGGAGCTGAATTCAGTATAGAACCAGAGAAGCAGTTCTGAAAAGATGGTATGGACAGTAGAGGAGCCTGGGAGGGCTACTGCAGGGACTATGAGGGCACATAGGTAAGGAAGGGTCCTGTAAGACTGCTAGCAGCACCCTTGAGCCCAGCACAAAACAAAGGGAGCCAGCCCTGTTTCTCCTGCCTAGGAGTTTTGGTTTCCAGACAATAAAAGAAGGACCTTTCTCCAAAGAAGAGTGAAAACATAACTCGTTGTTTTAATTCGAGGTATCTTGTAAGCCCTTGACTGAACACTGTCAGGTCCAGGATGCTTCAGCATCCTTATGGGTGGGGGTAGAGAAAGAGGCTGAGTGACTAGCAGGTCTCCTAGGTGTCTAGTTTTCTCTGGCACAGCTCATGCATTTCCCATGGAGCTGAACAACAGCCAGTCTAGCTAGAAGTCTAAGATAATCAGCGCCCGAAGGGAACAGCCCAAGACCCTAAAGTATCTGTCCACAGGAGTCCTGTGTTTAAAAAGAAAGGCAAAAATAACTCATTAGGCACTGCAACACTGCTGTCCTGCCCGCCCAGAGACAGCCAATGCCAGGTGCTCTGCAGGCACCAGCCCAGCGGGCACCTAGCCCAAGCCTGAGCTCCGGCATTAATGTCAGTCCCCAGAAGTTTTGCTCCGTCACTGGAGTGCCCACCCAAAACCCTCATACCTTCTCCACGTTCTCCACAGTGAAGTCCAGGGCTGGTGCTGCTCCAGCCCCTGCAGCCCCCGACTGCTCTTCCCGCCGCTCCATCTCTGCTCCCTTTCTCACAGGGAGGTGGGCCCCAATCTGACTCCTGCTCCAGCCCCTTGGCTGCTGGTTCCCTGCTAGACTCCGGCTTGGGTGCCCAGGGAGTGCTGGGGTGACGGGGTGCCCAGCGCAGGCATGGCTGCCGAGGCCTCCCCACTTCGGTTAGAGATGGGGGCTTGCCAGAGACCAAAAGGGAAGCTCTTAGGAGACCCACTTAGGACACCGAGGACGGAGGCGCCAGTGAGAACTCTCAGGCGTGGGTCTAGGTGGTAGGTCACGGCTCTATCCCTAGAATATGTGAGGAGGAAGTCATAGGGAAGGGAGGCCTACGAGGGAAACCGAGGGCCTGCCCCGTGAGGAGTCCCAGGGTCGACCGCCAGTACCGACAACACCTTCGTCTAGGTGGGCTCTTGGGTGTTACAAGGAGGTCACGGGGCTGGGGGGGTCACGGAGGAGAGAGCCCTTCGCGAGTTACGGAGGCATCCAGGGAAGCGCAGGACTGTAGCTTCGCGAGTCTGGGGCGAAGAGTCCGTGAGGATGAAGGGCTGTGGTAGATCCCCTCCGTTCGGCCTGGCCCGCGCGCTCTGCTCACAGCCAGGCTGTGGCCCCCCTACTGCCGCTGCCTCCACCCCAGTGACTGACAGACAAGCCGGCCTGGCCCGGACGGGGCGGAGACCTCGGCAAGGCGCGGGCTGACCCAAGCGCCTGTCCCCGGCACCATCAGCTCAAGTCCCCAACCCCGCCTGTTCAAGCCCGGTCCGGCCCGTCCCAGCCCAGTAAGGCCCAGCGGAACTACGTGGAAACTCATTCCGGGTCCTTGGCCTTGTTCTCGCGCCAGCCTGAGTGCCCCCGAACAGGCGGCGGAGCGGCTCGCTGCCCAAGGCCCTCGCCGAACCAAGGGCCCGCCGCTTTGCACCCTGGGAAACGTAGTCCACTATGAGCCGAGCCGAAAGGCGGCGCTTGGAGGGGGTTTGGACCCGAGCACGTGTTTTGGGGGTCCTTGGACCCCGACAGGTTACAGGCCTACCATGGCCGACAAGCACTCCCACTACTACCAGAGTGGGGCGCTGCGGCGCAACTCTGGGAATATGTGTTTTACGGGGCTTGTGAATGGAAGTGGAAGCCAGGACTAGAAAATGATGAGACCAAGTCACTCTGACGCTCCGCTGCGGTTACGTGATCCGGCCGGAGAATGGGGTGTTTGGAAAGAAACCGTCAGCACCACCCAGAGAAGAGGAGACAGGGCTTAGCAAGCCTCAGGAATAAAGGACCACCCCTAAGCAACCAGGAAATCATATACCATGGACAGTGCTCCGAGCCCTTCCACAAGGTTTTATCTACAATGTGAGTAGAGTAGCTCACTTTTGAGTGCTAGGAACAGTATTTTATACACTTTGGGTGCATTCCTCTCAGCAGATGAGTATTTTTATTCATCGTTTTCAAATGAGACAAGAAACTAATGTTGGGGAAAGCTGTTTATCTTGCCCCTGTTCACGTACCTAGAGTAACAGAATCTAGCTATAGTCCTGGTCTGCTCCAAAACCTAGAAGGTCCTGCCTCTTGCCTCTCCAGTAGTCCTTGCATTAACTCCTTCCAACGATTCCAGCATAGAAGAAAAAAAAATTAAGAATGAAAGGACCTCTATACATGTGTTGGAGGTAGCTAGCACTGGCAGTAACTGCCAACCCTGGAGAAAGTCGATGAAGGCTCCCCAGAGGAGGAGAAACTTGATCTGAGCTTAAAGGACAGGGAAAGCCTGGGGAAGAGAGCAAGCTCATTTAGCTGGTAGGCAAAGTCCAGTGAGACTCTAGTCACTCAGCAAGTCTTTGTCAAGAAAGTGTTTGAAGAGCACTAGTAATTTGTTACTGTTTTAAGGGGTGTATGCGGGGTGAGGAGGAGAGTGATGATGAATAAATGAGGTGAAGTTGGAAAGACAAGTTGAGAGCAATAGTTGGGAGTCTGAACATTCCCCAGAGTGCAGTGTGAAACCATGATGGGACTTCTTTTTAGAAAAATCTGTCTGCAGTATTTTAAGGAGGAAAGGATAAAGGCAGGAGATATTTGGAAAAAAGGAACAGGAAGCCAAAAGAAACTAACTGATTCCAGACCTGTATATAGGATGTGAAATAGCTTGGACCTGGTGGTGGGCTGGAAATTTCTGAGTTGGGAATCGGGGGTGTGCCAACGGTGCAAATTCTGGACTTGAGAAGAAGTTCTTATTCCAATGAAGGACAAAATGAAATAATACATTACTGGAACTTGGCCCAGAGGTTACAATGTGGCCGGTGTGTTTTCTTCATTTTTTCAATCTAGGATTCCTTCTGCTTACACCAACAGAGGAAGAAGCCAACAGCCCCTGGACATACTTCACAAACACTATGTAGGACAAATGGACTGAAATAGGATTTGGGGAGAGTTAAGCATGTTTTTGAGGGCAGAAGAAAGAGGATCTTCAGGAAGATGGGTAGTAGTGGAGGGTAACTTACAGCCGAATAGGGAATGAACCTTTGGGAGCCAATTATAAAAGGACGTTCTCTGAGACACAAAGACATACAAGGTCCAAAACAGGCGACAACTCTGAAGGAATCTGAACAGAACATTCTATAAATTGAAGCTTTTTCATCTACCAAAATAATGTGATTTTGGCCTGAAAAACCAGAAGAAGGTCTGCTTGTAATTGAGAATTCCCAGGAGAGAGCTCCTTCATCTGCTTAGCACCAAGGTTGAATACAAGCCATTTTCTTTGTAGTCCCCTGATTTGAGAGAGGTTAGACAGGAGAAAGGCAGGTTCATTTCTAATGCATCCTCATGGTGTAGGCATAGACATTTGGAGATCCTGATCTTATAGGGACTTTGCCAAATAGATCTTCCACTGTGAATGGATCCTGGACTTTGTCATATTTCTCATAAGCTTATGGAGCCTTGAAAACTAACACCCAGATTCACTGGGTACAGCAAATGCCCTCACTGTAAAAGGCAGCTACAAAGATTTGCATACCTTTATAACTTCCTGCTTTTATTTATTAATTTGGTCTCAATGTTTGTATTTTTGCCAGCTCATAGATACAGATAGATAGATAGTAGGTAGGTAGGTAGGTAGATAGATAGATAGATAGATAGATAGATAGATAGATAGATCTTGTTCATTGTTTTTGGTAAGAAGTTTGTCCCAAGTTCCAAAGCCACCATCTTTCAAGAAAATCCAATGGATAGTTTTTAGTCCTTGTGTCACTTGATTTTTCTGGTGTATTTGACCTGTTCACCAGTTATTCCAGTTTTTCTATTTTGTTTCTTACCCTAAGTCTCTGACCACTTCTTTTTAGGCCCCTTACCATCTTGTTTCTCTTCTTCAACCTAGTCTTTAAATGCTGACTCTCTCAGAGCCAGGGATTTAGCTCAGTAGCGTAAGTGCCTGCCTGGCAAGTGCTAGGTCATAAGTTTGATCCCTGATACCAAAAAAAAAAAAAAAAAACTGACTCTCCAAGGCCTTAGCTCTTCTTATCCCTCTTATCACCCTAGTCCCTTGGCTCCAAGATATGGCTCCCATATCTCTTTGGCTCAGAGGCCTTGAGTTCCAGACCCACACATTCAGCTGCCTTTAGCATTCTTGCAGTTACCGAAACATTAAATTGAAATGCACAAAATGGAACTCATGATCTCTCCCACTTCTTATTCAGTCTGGGTGACTTACAGAGATTCTGTCTCAAAATCTAGTTAAAAGTGCTACATTCCAGCCTGGCACAGTGGCACACCCATGTAATCCTAGCACTGTAGGAGGCTAAGAAAGGAGGACTGTGAGCTCAAGCTTGGTCTGTGCAACTTAGCAACTTAGTGAGATACCATCTCAAAATAAAAGACAGGGCTAGAGAGGTAGCTCAGTGCAAATACCCTGGGTTTAATACCACAAACATGGGGTGGGGGATGTAGTTTGGTGACAGAATGGTCCTATGTTCAATCTCTGCTACTGAAAAAAAATTGGATTGTAAAAAGATTTTGAAGCAATATGGAACTGGCTAGTAAGAAGTAAAGAGATCTGACTATAAATGAGAAATATGGGAGTATCAATTTTAGGGCTGAGATAGAGAAAGCCCAGGGAAGAGACCCTCATCCTTTTTCTACTGCCCAAGGCTGAGATTCTCACTATACTGGAGAGGACATGACCAGAGGCAAGAAACAATAAAGGTAATACACAGTAAGCAGCACAGGCCCAATGCCCCCATCCACTTCTGAAAGACCAAACATAATTTATTTCTCAATACTTAGTTCAAGTGTCACATTCTCTATGAAGCCTTTTAGGGCCTCTCTTCAGTTTAGGTAGAACCAAGTCCTCCTTTGGGACTCACTGACATACATATTTGGACCAGTGGTACTGCTACTGAAGGGACTCTCAATTGTTGATTGTATTTTTTTTTTTGTCTTTTTCATTTTTTTATCGGTACCAGGGATCAAACTCACGACCGCCTGCTTGCAAGGCAGGCACTTATGCCGCTGAGCTAAATCCCTAGCCCCTTGTTGATTGTATTTTTATTTACTTGTTTACATCCAGTTAGAGTTGCCAAAAATAATTCAGGACACCCACTTAAATTTGAGTATCAGATAAATGACAAATACTTTTTTATACGTATGCCCCAATTCTTACAAGAGACAGTCTAAAAGAAAAATGTTTTTTGTTTATCTGAAATTGAAATTTAACTGGGTGGCTTGTATTTTCATTTGCTAAATCTGGTACCATTACTCTCATGTTCATATCCAGCTATGGTTTCTTTGTTGGCAGAACATGTTTCTCATTGATCTCTGAAACCTCATACGTAGCGCAACTCATGAGAGCTAGTGTTCAGTTAAAGTTAAGAGACTGGAAACTTCTCTGGCTGTGGAGTTGAAACTAATTAGAGAAAGACAAACAGGCCACATAGAATGAGCAATAAACCATCCAAAAAGCTATGAAAGCTTCAACAGAATGGCATTAGGAATACAGATAAGGGGATGGACCTGTAAAATCCAAGGATTTGGTGACCAGTAGATAAAGATTGTGATAGAGCTCAAGAAGTACAGGGTATTGCCCAGATTTTTGCCTTGTGTCACTAGGTAGAAGTTGATACATTCATGAAGGGAAGAACACTGGAAGTGGTTTGGAAGTTGGAGAGCAGGGAAGCTTATTAATGTGGGGCACAGAGCAGGATGGAGAAAAAAAAAAGAGTAGGGAGCGGATTTGAAGGAGCAAACTGAAAACATCAGGACAGATAATGTGAAGCTTGAGGTTTCCAAGGATATGTGGATAGGCATATTGAAATTAGACTCAGGCTCAGGAAAAAGGCCTAGAATGGAGATACAATGAGTGAGTTAGCGTAGAGGTGGTAACTGAAACCATAGGAGTTGATAATGTTCCAAGGAGGAAGGAGGTTGAAAGCTGATTTCAGATCCTCAAGGAACAACACTAAGAGGCAAAGAGAGGCAGATATGGTGGTACACACCTGGAATCCCAGCACTCTGGGAGGTTGAGGCAAGAGGATCATAAGCTTGAGCCCAACTCAGGCAACTTACTGACTTAGCAAGATCCTGTCTCAAAATAGTTTTCAGACTGGCTGGGGATGGAGCTCAAAGTGAAGGCCCTGGGCTCAGTGTCTACTCCCCCTCCCCAAAAAACAAGGGTCGGGGAGAGGAAGAGGAATCCAAAAGTAGTCAGAATGAGCAGCTGAAGAGTAGAAACCAAGCAAGCAAGAGATCAAGAAGATTATGGGCAGACAGATTCTTAAAGGAGGCTGATAAAACCAAGTGCTTCTGGAAATTTAAAGGACTAAAGGCTGAAAAATAGCCTTTAAATTTAGCAATGATAAAGCCTCAATGACCCCAACAAAAGCTCTTATAGTGAAGGAATGGTGAAAGCAAAGGAGGTCTCTCAAAAAAAATTAAAAAATAAAAAAAAAGCAGGTCTCTCTATATATCTCTGTCTCTCTCTCTATCAGTTGAAGCATTTTATGATGGCATATATTTGAGCCAGTAGAAATACAGATGAGAAGGAGATATGAGATAGAAAAAGGTTGAGGAATAGGAAGTTTAAATAATTGAGACAGAAAGCCCTGATACTGGAGCTTGAGCGCAGCTAGAGGAATTGATCCAGCCACAGCAGGATATTGATCATAGTACCTAGCATAGGGCAACAATATGAATCTTTTGACTCCAAAGAGGGCTCTGAATGAGCTTCAGAACTCTGTGCCCCACAATTGTTTACCAGATTTAGACATCAGTGACATTTCCAGTATTTTGGTAGGGTAGGCTTCATTTGATTTGATCTATAGCTTTCATTATATTCTCAAAGGACTCCAAAAGATTGAGCCCACTCTCATGAACAACAAAGGTATGCTCACATGGCACAAACTCTCCTGAATCTTTTCTCTGATCACTCAACTTCTTTCTCAGCCTTTCCCTTGAAGATGAGATCTCAACCAGCTAGTCCACGTGCACTGCATCACTGGGACCTCTGGCCAAAAGACAAGATAGAAATCTCTGGAAAAGGAAAATGGAAAGTCTCTGCCAATGGCATCTAGTAAATCAGGTAGCTGTAGGTGGGGAGATACCACATATCCTAGATAAAATGAACCTAGAGAAAAGTGAGGTATTCCCTGGAGCTGGAAAGATTGTCATTTCAAAGCTACCTATAATTTTCTGTCTTGTAAATGTCTGTGACCTGATACCCCTTCAGGGACATTCCCTAGTTCTGGGAAGGGTACTCAAGGGGCAGTGTGGTTTTGTGAAGGTGCACCAAAGACCAGAGCCAGAAATGGAAGTACAGAGACCTCCTTGGCTCTAGAAGCTGTATTCAGTGTATTGCTCTATCTAGTGTGTCTATCATGTGACAGGCTACCTAGGCAAAATTGTAAACAGATGCACTTCTCAGTCTCTTTTCCTCCAAGAAAATAGTTTTGTTTGTGTGTTTTCCATTTGAGGGAGATTTATATTGGTTTTTGTTGTTGTTGTCTGTGTATGCATGGAGACAGGGTCTCACTTTGTAGCCCAGGGTGGCCTCCAACTCACAATGATCCTCCTGCCTCTGCTTCCCACATGCTGGGATTGCACGTGTGTGCCTATAGGTTACAAACTGGGGCAACTTTCTTGTGGGAATGTATTCTTTCTGTAAGAGTTGCAGTTTCCTCTAGGACTTGGTGAGATATTTGGACAAGTTCTCTGGGGCCCAGAATAAAACTTCAAGTTGGAGTGGGCCTGAAGGTCTGCTAATTCGGGGAGGGTTGAGAGTCAGCACTTGCTTGGGCTCTTGCAGTAAGCACCCTCAGAGATGGCTTCTGTCTCCTTTAAGCAACTCTGAGAGCAGCAGTGGCAGGGTCTGCGAGGTTTGAGGACCTCAAGGGTCTGAGAGCCAGGCTGGAGGGATTTTCCCAGGGGTGCTGCTTGCCCCACATGTTCCCAGAATTAACAGAATGTTCCCACCACACCCAACCAACCCCCTGCAAACTGTATGACACTGATGCTATTTCCTTTGGGCTGTTGTGTAGAAACTGAGGACCCTGGATTAGTTTGGAGGCAGAAAAAGGGGTCAAGGGAGTATTTGAGGACAAAATAGAACCAGAGTTTTTAGGGGGGACCTAGAATTGTGTAAATACAGAAGAGGGTACAGTTCACATTTTTGACCAAAGATGGGCCCAGCCCTCAGAGCTCTTGTGGGTCTCCAACAGTCTGGATGAAAGGCCACCTCAGCAAAGCAGGCAGCACCCAGGAAAGAGTTGCTATCAACAGTGTTAAATGCCTTGGATCCCACTGTCAACACTGTCTCTCTTCTAGGTTAGGCTGCAGCTTCTGCATGGAGGATTCTCAAATCTGTTTTACCCAGACTTCTCAGCTCCAGGCCAGCATAACCCACTATCTCCTGACATGTCCTACAATTCCTCAGATATAACGCCTTTACAGACACACATCCTTGTCTTACTACAAAAGAAGGAAAATCTCCTCAGTACAAATGCCTAGGGCCTGAGAAACATGATTTCAAAGGAAATGTCAAAAAGTTCAGGAGACTGCATTGATCTTTTGGAGATGACTTAGGGACAGTATGAGAGGCCACCTGATAAAAGTATGTACCTCTTAGCTTCTCTGTATGTGTGCGTATGTGTACGTGCATGTGCACTATTGGGGGTTGAATCCAAGACCTCTGCTTTGACCTACAGTCCTATCCCTTTTTAATTTTTTTTAAATTGTGAGACAGGGTCTCTTGAAGTCACTAAGTTGCCCAGGCTGTGCTTGAACCTGGAATATTGCTGCCTTAGCCTCCCAGTATGTTGTGATTACAGGTGCCACCCTGATTGGTGCTTCCTGTTTTTAATTTCTACATCACATTTTTTTTTTTGGTGGTACCAGGGATTGAATTCACAACCTCAGGCTTGCCAGGCAGGCACTTAGGCCACTGAGCTAAATTCTCAGCCCTTGTTTTTATTTTTTAAAATACCACTTGCCAAATGGAATTGAAATAATTATATATATAATTACTTATTCATTGTCTGTCTCTCTTGATTTAAGCTTCTTAAAGACAAGGATTGTGTCTCTTTCACTTCCATATCCTTAGTGTCTATCCAGTAGCTAACATAATTGATTAATAGTAAACAAACTGGGGCTGGGGATTTAGCTCAGCAACGTAAGTGCCAGCCTGGCAAGCACAAGGTCATGAGTTTGATCCCCAGTACAAAAGAAAACACATTTTGTTGGATACAGAAATGAATATCCTTATTAATCACCCTAAATGCAGATTCTCTATATTCCTGGGTCCCTTCCTGTCTTCAGAGCTCTGCAAAGCTTTGTGCTTTGTTCCCACAAACCAGCATCTCAGTGCATCCTTTTCTCACCTTCAGCCTTTTTTTTCAGATGCTCTCTTGCCCTAGGCTGCTTCCTGGAATGAGGGTAGAGCTTGTGCTGGACCATCTGCAGGTAGAGGAGTGTGTATGCCTGTTAGGGTGGCTTCAAGTCAGTTCTCTGGACAGCAGGACACTGATCAACAACAGTGGGGTGATATAATGTGTGGTTTTCTATTTTTACCTTACTAACAAGGGGCTCATAGTGCCAGATAGTCACAGGATGAGGCTTTGTGCACAGAAATGTTGAGGTCCTCACCTACCCCACCAGGTAACACAGGGCTCACTGTCCAGGGCTGTGTAGGAGGTATGGTTGCACTTTGCCACCCACTCTGCCCAAGATTTCACATCTCCCACCCTGGAGCTGCTGGGAAAGAACAAGCAGCGGGAGATGCAGGCCAGCCTATGATTGCTGAATCAGTGTGAAGTGTGTGAGTACACAGATAAGGGTGCATCTCCAACCAGGTTTTTACCCATCTCTGCCCACAAAACAATCTGACAAAGCACTGAAGTAAATAAATAACTTAGAAATAATAAATAGGGATCCAGCTCCCATTGGTGAGGATAAGGCCATCTCCAGCATAGGCACTTTGTGCCAAGGTCTACAGTGCATACCCTCCAATTCCATCCACCCAGGGTCTGAGCCACTGCTGTGTTCTCCAGAGGCATCTCTAGCCCCCAGCCTGGCCAGTCCCAGAGTCTGCACGAGGAGGAAGTGAAGGTCTCAAAAATGAGGTCTCTGATTTCTATAGGGTCATGGCCCCAGGGTGAGCACCTTGAAGCTTCTGGTCAGTCTAGTAGTCCTTCCACCTATCCAGGGTTGTGACCATCACACACCATGCTGGGACCTCAGGTCCAAGGCTTCCATTGCAGACTGAGGGCCCCCAGCCAATGGGACCCTGCAGAAGGTCCCAGGCAGAGAGAAGTATGTGCAGAAGCCCAGTTTACAGACTCCTGGGGAAACCTCTCAGCCTAGGCAGCCGCAGGCAGTTGCTGAGAGGCGGTCCACGGTCCTCCAGGTGCTGTTGACGTCCATGAAAGAAACAGCCTCATAGCGAGTGGGCCGGCAGCAGGGCTGGGTGACAGGCCGGGAGCCTGGGGGTAGCCGAAGGGCCCCAGCATTCAGCAAGTTGGCCAGGCTGAGGTCGTGTGGGGAGCGTGCACGACGGCAGGAACCACTGCAGAAGCGGAAACGCACCAGCTCGTCGGAGCTGTGGCCCAGGCCCAGTGCATGCACCGGCACCAGCTGTGAGTGCAGGCGGCAGCTCCGACCCCCCAAGTCCCGCGCACGGCTGCCTCGGGCCCCTGTGCCTGTGCGCGCTGCGCGGCCTCCACGGAACGAAGCAGGAAGAGATGGGGATGAGGAAGGGGGCATATACCCGGGAGGCTGCGAAGGTGGCCTGCGGGTTCTTCTACCGCACAGATGGGCCAGGCGTCCACCTGGAATGAGATAAGGTCACATGCGGTGTTCTGGGGCAGCCTGCCCTTGTCCCGCTCCTGTCCCGCCCCTCCCACTCTCACTTACTGGGTAGGTGGCCGGTGGGGGGCTCTGGCACTAGTCCGGGGCCTTCGTGGGTGGCGGGACTGTGGGAGGCAGGGCCCACAGAAGACTCTGTGACGCTGCTAAGGAGGGCTAGAGTGGCCAGTGTTGGCCACAGGGCTGGCTGCGCAAAGAGACAAGTGGAGACTCAGGAAGAAAGAGGGCACTCTCATTGGCTGCAGAGGGTCAGGGGCACTCGGGGTTGGCCTGTCCTTGGCTGAGATCAGAGAGGGTTTGGGCTCCTAGTTGAGTGGGGGTGTCAGGAACATCCAATTTGGGCGAGGGATTTAGCTCAGCGGCATAAGCGCCTGCCTGGCAAGCGCAAGGTTGAGTCTGATTCCTGGTACCAAAAGAAAAGAAAAAAAGAACAACCCACTTGCTATTTCTAGGAGCCTAGGGGGGAAATCGGCCGAGGGCACTGACCATCTCGAGTCTTGGACTTCCTGCCATGTACCTGATTCCTCCCTCTTTGACTACTTCTCCACATCTGACCCCTACCCAGGCCAAATCCTGCTCTTCCCTCAGCTCGAACCCCTCTTCGGGTACAGTCTGGAGTCTGGGGCAATCACTCACCTGTTGCCTAGGCCAGGGGTGGTGGAGCAGCACAGTAGGGCCTCCAAGTCCAAGTTCCATCTCTATCAACACCAGGAGCTCCCATCAGCCTTTGGTGACCTGTTACCCCACCCTCCTCTTGAGGCAGCTTGCAAACTGAAAGATGAATTATCTTTTGGGGAGGTCATCTTTCCACCTAAGTTTCTCCAAGTCACAAGAGAGTCAGGTAGCATGCCTCAGTCTAGGAGAAGTAGCTGTATGAAGAACCTTACTGCGTGTTAGATGCTTTGCAGCTTTTTTTTTCCACAGCTACATGAATGAGCTAAATGGTTTGATCTCCTTTTTCCAGATGAGCAAAAGAGGCTCAGAGAAGCTCAGAGACTGATGGTCTAAGAACACAGGCTACAGTCATACAGACGGCCTATACCCCATGCTACAAGGGAAGCATCTGAGGCCTGGTGAAGAATTAGTGTCTGTTGGTTACTCTGAGAGTTATCTGATAATGAGGTCCACGTCACAGTCTGTGTTGCCCACCCTGCTCCTCTATGATCTGTGTTGTGGACCCAAAATCTCCTAATTTTCTCTTCTGACCACAGATATCCCTCAGGAGACAGCAGATGGTGGGGGCTGATGGGTCCTCTGAAAACAACAGGCCCGTGCCACCAGGGGGCAGAGTCTGCCAACCCTGCAGACTCAAAAGGGGTGGAAGGTGGGCTTTCAGAGCTGCATTCAGGTCTGAGCAGTCCCAGAAGGGCCAGCAAATCCATACCAGTCTCTTCTCTAAGCACTGTCCTAGGTCTTCAGCCTCCTGCCTTTGCTCTTAGAGGTTTCCCTCACAAGCCATCCTTCCTCATCCCAGCCTGCCCACTCAAGTGTTATCAGTCTTTGAGAGCTTACCCCCCAACCCCGACTGACACTCCTGAACACCCCTCTAGGGCCCCAGAACTTTCTAGAACACCCATTAGCCAGTCTTTTCTTGGATCCTGGCATCCTAACCCCCTTCACCTAGCAGTGTCCACACAGCTCTAGAACAGACACCCAGGTGAGCTGGATCCAGATCCTCCGGGCCAGGCCAGTGACTGTTCCCATGGATGGAGGAAAGCCGGGCAGGCAAGGAAGCTGTAAAGGCCTCTGCACTAGAGGGAGCCCTGGAGCAGGTCCCTTGAGGGCAGCTCATCCAGCCCTTGCCACCCGGATCCACCAGGCCATTACTCACCACTGAGGTCCTGCACTGTGTTCTTCTAGGCACCTTTCCTGGGACTAGCGCTGGGCTTTTGCCCACAGCTCATGCCCAGGGCTGTGCACCTGGCAGCACCTCTTTTAGCCAAAAGTGCGGCCTCGGCAGCCAGTTCGTGCCCTGTAGCGGCAAGAGGAGCCTCACATTACCGCAGGCCTGCAGGACTAACACACTCCAACAAACGACAAGAGGGACGGGAGCGTCTGGGAGGGGCAGAGAGCTACACTGAGGGCTGGGGAAAGGGAGGACGGGTGAAGAGCGCTCTGCCTCTGCCAGCAGCCCAGGAGTGTGCGTCCAGCGCTGGGACCAGGGATGGGCACGTGGGCGGGCTTACCTCGGATGCGGGCCTCTGAGCCCCGGTCGAAGCAAGGACTAGGGCCCGAGGGACTTGCTGCTGGCGGAGCCCGCGGGCCGTGTCTGGGGGCCGAGCCCCACTCCATCCCTCAGCAGCCTGCTGCCCGCCGTCCGGTGTCAAATTCCAGCCTCGGCGTCACCGGATCCCGGGGTGGGGCCCAGAGCGCCCCCGCCCCGCCCCACCTTTCTGGGCTCACCTGGCCACTCTCCCCTTGAATTAGGTCCCCACTGGCTCTGCTGTGTCCCCCAAGGCCGGGAGTAGACGTTGGGAGAGGACGCCCGGAGGAAAAGAGTGGAGAAGGCGGGAGGCGGAGAGACACGGAAACGGGGAGTTCGGAGTTTGTAGACACGCGAACTGGGGAGCTGGAGGCTGGGCCGAGGGCGGGAGGGAGTGAGCGAGCGCGGGAGGGACCGGCGGGTCCTGGCCTTGGCCACAGGCTCTAGGGCGTGCACCGCACGGGGTCCTGATTGGCGCAGATCATTTTTCTCTCAACAGATTGTTCACCTAATTCGGGGCAGCGAGTCTTTCTACTGCTCACCTCCGGAGCTGCTCAGACGGGAGAGAGGCCCGGGCAAACACCTTGGCCCTCGGCACACCCTTTGCAGTGAGGGAGGAGGTGGGTGTGACAGCCAAAAAAGGGGGAGGGTCACGGAGCAGGAAAATAGGAGCTAAGGCTTTAAATAGGAGGGAAAGGTGGCAATTCTGTTGCCTAATTATGGCAATTTGGCCGGTGGGCTGAGGTTGGGTAGTAACAGGGCTGGAAAACTCATGTCCCTGAAGTGCCTGGCTTTTACCCCAAAGATGCCAGGGACCATTTAAGGGTTCACAGTAGAAAGATATGGTCAGAGATGCATTTTCCAGGATGATTAGCTGCAGTGGGAAGGATGGTTTAGAACCAAGCAAGACAGGAGAGGTGGCAAGACAGTGGTCACCAAACCCTCTCCCCAGGAGGTTGCTGGGGAAAGAATGGAGGCTTGAGCAAGGTTATGGAGAGCTGGGAGCCACACAGGCCCAGCTGCACCCCATCCTTTTAAAAACGCAGTCGGTGCCTATTCAGATGAGGTGAAGGCAGGATGGACAAAGATGTGCCCTTAGCTGTGGCCTGGGTGACCAGGTGGAAGCGAAGCATTGTGGGAAGACGTGCTCCCTGGCAGGGGCAGGAGCTTGTAAGTATAGTGTTGGACATGCTGAGTTGGAAAGGCCTGTGGATTTTCCTAAGTGGAAATCAGGAAGAAGCTGAATTTGTAACCTAGAGCAAAATGGAGACAGCAAGGCTGGTGATGGAAATCTTGGAATCAGTTGGTCAAATGACACACAATGGAGGTTGTGGGTGGGGATGAAGGCACAGGGAACATGTACAGACCAGCTGTACAAAGCTATGTACCAGAGTCACTGTGGACCTTTAAGAGCTACCCACATCCGGCCCCACCCCAGATCTGAATCAGAACCACAGGGTGTGCAGGTGCAGTTTTCCAGATTTGCACGGGTGATTCTGGCATATAGCCAGGACTCAGAACCACAGGGATTTTAATGCAGCGATGCAAACTGAAGTCAGCTGCTGCTGCTGGGGGACGTTTGCAAGCTCGCCAGGCCCCGATGGGACAGGAGGCTAAGTCATGAAGTTTGCTCTTCACTGCCTCCCGTAACTGCTGCCCAATTGGGGCAGCTTCCCTTACACTTTTTCAGCCAAGGCTACCACTTAGAGCCATGGTATCTAGGCCCTGAAAAACTCCACTAGGCACCACTCAGGGGCTCCACAGTAGTACATTATTAGGAGCCTGGTTGCCAGCAGAGTGTAGGGGTGCTTATGGGCTTCCTTGTCCCTCAGGCAGGGTCTTGTTTCCTCTCAGCAGAGGAGGCTTCTGCCTGATGACAGACTACAGCAGTAAGGAGGACGTGTGTGAAGTTGTGGTTCTTGGATGGCCAGGATTCTGTCCTCAGGGGTCTCTCCAGGACAATGCCTGGGCCATCAGTATTCTTGGGTTGAGGTAGACCAGAATGGTACAGTGGCCAGCCATCCCTTCCTGGTTAGCAGCAAGCTCCCTTCATGGACTCAGATGCAGGTGTGAGTCTGCCTATTCTTAAGCCAGCTGGGGGTATTGGGGAAGAAAGGAATCTGATTCTAAGGCTCTAAGGGTGTCAGGTGGTGCGGGAATGCCATTTCTAAAGTTCCTCAAGAGATACCCAGAGCTTGGTTGCATGCTTTCTCATCTTCTGGTAGGGGAGGACAAACCAGGGTGTCAAGAGTAGAAAAAAAGTCTGGGCCTTTGCTGGGCCTTGCCAGGTATTATTGCTGGTCTGTTTCTTTCAGGGCAAAGAGGATATGGGGCTGTGGAGGCCAGGGGACACACCAGAGGCATCTGAAGAAATGAAAGGCACATGGTGGGCTGGAGAGAAGACTCTTGGGTTTGGCACAGTTGCTGAAGCTCTGGGCTCCTGTTCCTTGTAGGAAAGTTGGTGAACGCAAAAGGAGGCCAGGTTCTGGGAAGAGCTTTATTGCTTCCATGAGGGCTGCCTGCCACAGCCAGCTCAAGGTCCTTGGGCCTAGACTTTCCTCTGGTCCAGGCTAAAGGCAAAACCAAGGGCCTGGCAGTTTTGTTACAGAAACCCAGAACATCTGACAAGCTGGTCAGTCCAGGTGGGGAACTGTCCGGTAGCTCAGGTGCAGCTGGGAAGGGAAGCTCCTCCTGTCGGGCTGGGCCAGGCCTCCCCTCCTTTAAAAGTTCTCTCTGAGACAGCCCAGGGGCTGTCTTGTTGGCTTCGAAGAGGTGACCCCAAGGCTTCCAGGCAGGAAGGCTGGGGGCTGGTGAATAGAAATATCCCATTTTCTCGCCAAGAAAGGCCAAAGAATGCCATGAGTTGAAGGGGGGGGGTAATGAGATGCTGCCACCCCTCTGTAACTCCAGAGTAGGGCACAGCCTGGGCATGGCACTCCCATTCTCCAGGGAGCTTACTGGCACTGTGGCCTGATGGGCCCTCTAGTGGGCCTCTTTCTGCATGGCAAGTGGACCAAATGACATCTCCAACCTTATTCAAAAATAAATTATCCCTCCCCCCCAAAGTTCACAAAATGATAATACATCAAACACTGATCGGAGAAATGATTCTGGCAGCATCCTCACTGCCTAATGTCCCACCTCCTACATGCTGGGCCTGCTGGGCACAGCCTGTGACTCCCTGGCTCTCTGGCTTCACGGATCCAGGTGGAGAGAAGCTGCGTGTTGATCTCTGAGGCTGGCCTCGGAGCAGGTACCGCTCTGGCTGCCCTGCTAAGGCCTTGCTGCCTCTGGGGGCCCTTGGCACTGTCTTTCTCTGAGTCTTCAGACCTATGCAGGTGACTGCTGCATGCTCTGGTGGTGCCTGCACCTCTGTGGCCTAGTGTTGGGCCCACTCAGATGCCACTGCTCAGGTCAGTGATAACACGTGCCTTCACCAGCTTCCGCAGAAACTCTTTCTCTCGCTGGATGTTGTGTGTCCATGACTGGAAGGAAACAGATGAAGAAGTGATGAGGTGGGCAGCCCAGGTGACTGCTGAGACACATACAGCATACAACTCTGTAAACCCAGGCTGGTACCCGCTGAGTGCTCTGTGACTGTAGATGTCTGAAGGCAGACACTTGTCATCCATTGGGCTTACATGACTGTGATGACCCTGCTTAGCAATGGCAAACCTTTTAGACTGGGTGCTCAACTGCAACTCAGAACCCACTGATTTATTGCAAAGTGCCAACACCGCAATTAAACCTGAATATCCCCTGCCAGGATGCAGAGGTGACTTATGTGCCTGCTTTAGCACATATGCCATACGTGCCATATGTCTGCCACAGCTCATCTTGCTTCCCAAGACTGGTCAGAGCTACCCTTCCACTCTACACTCATTCCTTTAGAACTGTGCCCCTAACTTCTTTCAGTCCTGCCTGCTGTGAGCTTCAGCACTGGAGAAAGGACTCTGTTTCCTCAGAATCCAACCCACGGCTGGCAGCGCGTCCAGGTTCTAGACACCCTGAAGCCAGCCAGATGAATCACTTCAGTCCCACAGCAAGGGGGTGCAGAGTCATTCTCTGGCCTGATGCAATCCACTCTTCAAGCCTGGGGCAGCTGAGTCTAACTTTTTTTGTTCTTCTTATTGATTTTAAGCAGGCTCTTGCTATTATATAGGCCAGTCTAGCCTTGAATGAATTTGCAACAATCTTCTTGCCTCAGCCTCCCAAATGCTGGGATTATAGATGTGTGCCACCACACCTAGCTTAAATGTTTATCTTTAATTGACAAATAATTGTATATATTTATGAAGTATGATTTTAAAAAACCCAGCATTTATTTTGGTCCAAAGGAGTCATCCAAATCTTTAATTTTTTTTTATTTTTAGTATTGCAAATTGAACTCAGGACCTTGTACTTGTCAGGCAGGAGCCTGTGCCACTGAACGATATCCCCATACCCTAGTATGTGATATTTTGTACATGTATACATTACAGGATGATTAAATCAAGTTAATTAACATATCTACCACCTTACATCCTCATTTCTTATGGTGAGAACATGTGACTACAAGGTTGTTTTGTTTTGTTATATAATCCAGGCTGGCCTCAAACTCACAGCAACCCTGTCTCACTGCTGGGATTACAGGCATATGTCATCATGCCTGGCTTGACTATAGTTAATAAAAATGCATTATATGTTTAAGAACTGCTAGAAAAGAGGGCTGGGGATTTAGCTCAGCGGCATAATCACCTGCCTTGCAAGCAGGCGGTCGTGAGTTTGATCCCTGGTACTGATAAAATGTTTAAAAAAAAAACCTGCTAGAAAAGGCTATGTGGAAATTATAGGGAAGATACTCTCTTACATGGCTTCTGGGATTCTTTTGCAACCCATGTGCACTCATCAGGAACTTTGGATGACTAAATTCCTCTGACAACAAAAAGGCTTGACCAATGGATGGAAAGAAGGAAACGAGGAGGACAGGGAGGCAGAGACACAGGGAGGAAGGACAGAGAAGAGGAATGTCAACAGCCTCATCATTCCTGTACCAGCTGGCCTGTCTGCCACCCTCACTGGGTCCTCTCGGGTGGGGTCAGTTTCTTCTCTCTCTGGGTTGCCTGAGGTGGGTGGCTCTACCTTATTCTTCATCCTGTCTCCACGTGATTGTCTTTCTACACTCCCCAACCACTAGCTGCTCCTGCCAATCTGCTGTCTGCAAACTGCTCCCTTTGCTGCAGATCCCTGGGGATGCACCCCTAATCTTTAAAGATTCAAGCCTCTGGCTCATTGTTTGCTTGACGGCAGGGACTGCTAGACACACAGTAGGTGCTCAATAAATATTTTTTGAATGAAATTAAGACTTCAGAGGCAAGAAGCAGATTCACAGGAATGGCAGGGCCAGTTTCCCAGCATGTGGGTATACTAATAAAACGCCTCACTTTCCCACACCTCTCCTAGTGGGAAGTTTGATGGGTCAGTTTTAAGAGCACCCACTAGGAGTCACTGAGGGTTAGCAGAGGACTATCTGATGATGCTAAGGAATTATTGTTTTTTTTTTGTACTGGGAATCAAACTCAACCTCACTTGCCATGCAGGTGCTGTGCCGCTGAGCTAAATCCCAGGCCCTATTGTTAATTTTAAGGTATGTGATAACAAAAAATAGTACTTATCCTTTAGAGAAACTGAAACATTTATGGCTTGAATGATATCTGAGACCTGCTTCCAAGTGACCAGAGGGATTGGGAGCAGATGAGAGGAAGAAGAGGTGAAATGATACTGGCCATGTGTTGACAGCTGATATGTGGAACTGCAGTGTGTTACTCTCTTGGCTTACAAAGTGTTGGACAATTTCCTTTCATAATGAAAAAGTAGGCAGAAAAATCAGCTCAAGGGTCATGTCAGTCTGTTCTTCAGGTGATGCCCTTCATGGGTGCTTGTCCTAATTTATGCAGACCGCTTAGGAACTTCGAGGAGCTTCTGCTGTGGGCTGGTGCAGGACTCTGGACTCAAATTCATGATCTTCCTGCCTCAGCCTCCCAAGTGCTAAGATTACAGGCATGAGCTACCATGCCTGGCCCCTTTTCAGCTTCTGTCTGATTCTCTTCCTTTGCCCAGCCATTGAATATTGCTGTCCTGGCATTCTGCACTGACCACGGTTCCTACGTCCTTTCCTGGGAAGCTGCAACAAGACTACTATCTGAGCAAGTGGCTCAATCTCTATTTCCAGCCCAGATTCACAGAGGTGTGGCAGGCGCTGTATGAATCACTTTATCCAAAACCCACCACACAGCCTTGACCCTCCCCTGCTCCTGTCCTGCGGGAGGATTCAGGTACCACCCGCCTAGCCTCTGTAAGCCTCTGTAAGCCTCTAGTCATGGTTCACTAACGCACCTGTAAGGCTGTTCTCACCACAACCACGAGCCATCTCTTAGCTTCTACCTCAGCAGCTCTTTCTCATGGGATTAGTGTCCTTCCAGGACACTCAGGAGAGTACCCGCACCCAGTCTACCATGTATAAGCATAGTGAGAAGATAACTATCCATGAGCCAAAAAGTAGGTCATTGCCAGACCTAAATCTGCTGGTATCTTGATCTTCAATTTCCAGCCAACTAGGACTGTGAGAAATAAAATTTTCTTCAAGTCAGAGTCCAGTATTCTGTTAGATCAAGAACCAAAAGAGCACACACTGGGCATGGTGGTGCATGCTTGTGATCCCAGCACACGGGAGGCTGAGACAAGTTTGAGGCCAACCTGGACTACACAATGAGTTCAAAGCCAGCCTGAGCTACATAGCAAGACCCTGTCTCAAAAAAACAAAACAAAAACAAACAAAACTGAAAAAAATAAATGAAACCAAAAGAGTCTAACACAACATAGCTAGAAACTGAACATGAGGATGTAGACATAGAGAACACGTAGATAAGATAACCTGGGGTAGAATGTTAGCTCATTTGGTTCCTGAGGGTAGACCAAAACCAATGATATGAGACAGACAATGAGAGAAATGGGTGAGTGAAAGAACAGGAACAACAGAAAGCAATGACTTAGAATCTAAGCAGGAAGAAATGACCCACCCATTAAAAAAGTATTTCTGGGAGATCACGAAAGATGAGATGTGGCCACTGTATTGGGGTAGGTCACTGGCAACCTCGGGGAGGTTGTGCCCTGTGTGTGTGTGTGTGTGTGTGTGTGTGTGTGTGTGTGTGTGTGTGGTAAGGGGCTGAATGAGAGAAGAGTGCTCACCTTCAGCATTCTCACTGGAGGAGGAGGACTGTTGGAAGCATCTGCAGTGTGAGGTTCTGGACAGTGTGCCATGAGTAGAGGTGAAGAGAATGAGAACCCATGGAGACCAGAGCCTCCAGACTCATAGCAGTGTGAGTCTGAACAGACAAGTTTTCCAAAGCACACAGTCACCCACATACAGGGACAGGGAAGCCACTTGAGGCACTGGCCCAAGATTTCCAAATCTTAGGTTAGGTTCATGGGAGGCTAGTGGTCGACGCTAAGGTATGGGAGGAGAGTTCAGATTTAGTACATGAGATTCTTGCGGCACAGGAAGAGATGCCAGAGGAGGCTGACCCGCAGTCTGCGAAGTTCGCTGTACATAAGGGTCACCTGGGAACAATTCTGGGCAACAAAGAGCACCTCACCTGTGTTTGGACACAGGGAAAGGTAGAGGAGGTGGGGATGTGGACCATGTGAGGGCAACGAAGGGGAAGGCAGGGAATGCACAGAAATGATCGGATCAGTCTGCTGCCAAGACTAGTGTATGAGGAAGGTGTGGAGCAAGAAGTGAGGGGTGGGGTGGAGAGCAAGGGCGGAGAGGGCCCACGGAGACAGAAGATGAGCTGTGGGTGCTGGGTTCAGGGGGTGGCTGGGAGAGGGACGGGTGAGATGCTGGTGGTCATCACAGGATGGGCCTTCAGGACTCTGCTCAGCTGGGGGTTGCCAAGCCCTTGCAGAGGAGCTGTCCCTCTGCCTCTCGCTGGACACATGCAGTCCAAGCCCAGGTTCTGGAAGCCCCCTCCCTTGGCTCTGCTCAGGTTCTGTCCCCATATCCACTCGAACCTCCTTGATGGCTGCCATGCGCACGGTCTCATAGTAGTGCAGGGGTGCATTTGGTGTGCTCATGTCGTAGCCGAAGCCTGCAACTGCCACCTCATCACAGCCATGCAGTGCCATGGTCACTGCCACACTGCCAAGGGTCGGGATATTCTGGAGGAGGGCAGAGAGGAAGCGTGTAAAGTTTAGCCAGAGTGCTGAGGTTCAGATAACTCCACAGACCTGGTAATGCTCCATTCCCAAGGAGGAGCCTTCCTCCCCAGTGTGTTCCCTCCCAGGACCATGGCTACCCAGCCTTCCCTTCCCAGCACCTCTGGCCCTGCTCTCTTCCTCCCTCTCCCCAGGTCCAGAGTCTCACCCCCCGGCCCATGAGGCCATTGTTGAAAGGCAGTCCGATGAGGGTGAAGGCGGCTTCCTGGATGAAATATGGGTTGAGGATGCGAATCTCGGGGGGCTCCTTGGGGACTCGAGTGGCCACAGATTTCCAGAAGCCATCCGATGCACTCTGAGGATACAGTGTAAATGGGCATGAGCTAGGCATATACTAATGAGGGGTCAGATAAGTGGTAGGGACCCAAAGTGAGCACAGGTAAATGGGAAGAGAGGTACAGAAGGACAACGGATGTGTGACAGACACATGGGGAAGTGCAGGGAAAAATGAGCATGTGTTGGGGCCATGGTGTATAACACAGGACACACAGTGAGCTACAGGGCAGGTACAGGCCGTAGGATGCTCTCAGAAATGCTGCTCTGGCAAATGGGAAGGGATCCGGGGGCCAATGGGAAGACCTAAGGGTCCAGGTATCCTGTCTCCCCACTGCACTGTCAGGAACCTCGCCTCTCCCTCCTATCTACTCTGCGGAGCTTGCCTCTCTTCCCTTCTGCTCACTCTCCTGGCTTCTCAACAGTGCTACAGCGAACCTAAAAAATAAAGACAAAAATATGAGCTCTAAAGAACAGCAGAATAACACTTAAATCACAGTTCTGCTACTATTTAGAGTCGGGTGACATCAGCTTCATTAACTGTAAAATGAGATACTTTCCCTCAGGGATCTGCATACCATCCTGGAGAAGTGTCACTCTTCAAGCCTGACATCTTGTCTGTTTCAGGGCCATAACCGTCTCTCCTAAACCTTTCCCTTTCTCTCACCCACTACACGGTGACCTTTGGGTCCCCCAGCCCTTCCTGGTCTAAATCTTACAGCAAACACTTCAACCAGTATCTTGTGAGACCCTTGGCTAGCTTGTCCTTCTACTGCCCTAGACTGGAAAATGGACCTTAACATCAATCCATTCTTCCACTTTTCTACTCTTGCAGTCAGGCTCCTGCGCACTGCTGGAGGAAGTCGAAATCCAACCCCAAAGCCAGAAAGATCACCACTAGCTCCAAACTAACTGTTACTGACCTGAGAATCAAGGGAACAGGTAAGCAGAGGCAGAAACAACCCCAGGCAAACTCAGCCACCTTATCTTTGACAAAAAGGCTAAACACCTTCACTGGAAGCAAGATGGCCTCTTTAATAAATGGTGCTACACACCAAAGATCAAAACTGGAGCCATATTCTTCATCATACATTAAACTAAAATTGAAATGGATCAAAGATCTAAACATTAAAACAGGAACAATAAATCTGCTGAAAAACAGAATAGGTAGAACTCTTGAAGACATGGGTGTAGGCAAAGATTTTATGAACAAAACCCTGCACAAGAAATATCAACTGTGGTCTCATCTTTTGTTTTTATTGTTATCATTATTATATTTTTGTCTTTTTGAGATGGGTTTTCACTACACTGGCCTTGAGTCACTTTGTAGCAAGGGTTGGCCTTAAACTCACAGCAATCCTCCTGTCTCAGCCTCCCAAGTGCTGGGATTACAGGTATGAACCACCATGCCTGACCTGGGATCTCATCTTTTTTTTTCTTCTCGTACTAGGAACCAAACCCAGGACCTTGCACTTGGCAGGCAAGTGCTTATGCTGCTGAGCTATATCCCCGGCCCTGGGATCTCATTTTATTAAAAAGATTTTGCACAGCAAAAGAAACCACCAACAGAGTGAAGAGACAATCCACAATGTGGGAAAAAATTTTTGTCAGCTGCTCCTCAGATAAAGGACTAATATCTAGAATATATAAAGAACTCAACAAAATAAGACCCTCCGAAATTTAAAGACAGGGTTCAAAAATGAGCATCTGAAATGAATAGACTTCTCAGATGAAGAAATAGAAGTAGCGGGGCTGGGGATTTAGTTCAGCGGCATAAGGGCCTGTTTTGCAAGCAGGCAGTCGTGAGTTCAATCCCTGGTACCGATAAAAAGGGAAAAAGACAAAAAAAAAAAAAGAAAAAGAAAAAGAAATAGAAGTGGCAAATAAATATGTTCAACATTGCTGGTCACTTGAGAGATACAAATTAAAACAATGCTGAGATCCTATCTCACTCTAGAAAGAATGGCTATCATCAAGAAATTAACCAATAACAAATTGCTGGCAAGGATGTAGGGAAAAAAAGAAGTCCTTTTCACTGCTGGTGAGAATATAAGCTGTGAAATCAGTATGGAGATTCCTCAGAAAACTAAAACTAGAGATTCCATTCAACCCAGCCATCCCACGTGGCATCTTCCTGAAAGAATTAAATGCATCATACTGCAATGAAGATATATGCACACCCATGTCTGTAGTATATTACAGTTTGTAAAAGCTAAATCTTGGGAACAACCTAAATGCCCATCAACTGATGAGGGAATAAAGATATTCTTTTTTAATATCAATGGAGTACTACTCGGCCATCAAGGACAAGCTTGGGACACTTCTAGCTAAATGGATGCACCCTGAGACCATATTCTTAAATGAAGTAAGTCAGACATCCAGTGCTGAAACACTGCATTCTCTGGTGTGAGAAAGTGAAAGTATAAATAAGGACCAAGATACATAACAGGTATTTGGAAAGGGGAAGAAAATTTTCAAATGAGAAAGGAGCAAGGGAAGGAGGAGGGGGAAAGGAAGAAAGGAAGGAAGGAGAAAAAAAGAAAACTGAAGGAAAAAATGGAAACACAGCTTTTTGCCAACAAGGAGGGTTGAAGAAAGGGGAGGGGACTGGGAAAACAGAAAAAGCAAGATACAGCATGCATAGCATTCCTAGATGAATGTTACGTCTATCTAAAATGTAACAACAACAAAGTAACTGTGACTTCCAGTCAGTTTATTATTTGCCCAGAAAACCTAAAAGGAATCAATTAAACTTAGAATGGCTAAGATTATTTAGCATATCAGGAAGAAACAACAGATTTAAAAAACAGACCTCATTTATAGTCATAACAAAAAATACCCAACACTGAACAATAAACTTCAGAAATCTGAAGAGGGGCCTATATGAAGAAAACTATGACCCTGTATTGAGACTGATCTCAGACCACTTTAAAAAGTGGGAGACAAACCATATTCCTGGAGGGAAAGGCTGAATATTAACATGATGCCACCTCCTCTCAGATTAATGTACAGACTTAACATCATTCTAAGAACAACTTCAATAGGATTTTTGAAATGTATCAGAAGTATTCTAAAAATGTGTCCCAAAGAAGTAAAAGGTAAAAATAATGCCAGTTAAAAATTAGATTTTTGGGTATCTATGAATTTTTATCAAACAGTGATATACATGTAAGAATCAAGACAACCAGGTGTGGTGGCACATGCCCATAATCCCAGCACTCAAGAGGCTGAGGCAGGAGGATCACACTGAGTTAAGAGGCTGGCCAGCCTGAATTACATAGAAAGATTCTATCTCACCAAAACAAAACAAAATTCAAGACAATGATCCTTGAAAAAGAATCAACATTTGTACAGGTTATGATAATGGACGTTCCACCATTAGGGAGAACAAGTGATAAGTCAAAATTTGCCATTTAGGACATCCTTTCCTCATACTGTACCAAAAAAAACCCAAACAAAACAAAACAAAACAAAAAAACCCCCTAAATTTTAGAAAGGATAAAAGAAAATTTAGGTGCAGATTTTGTCCCTAAGCTTTCTAAACATTAATAAAATAAAGGAAGTAAAAAATTATGACTTTATGTTCCTTTTTTTTTTGGTCTTTTTTGAGAAAAGGTATCACTACACAGTTCAGGCTGGCCTTGAACTCACTTTGCAGCCCAGGTTGGTCTTAAGGCCACAGCAATATGCCTGCCCCAGCCTCCCATGTACTGGGATTATACAAGTGCACTGCCATGCCAAACTATGACTTTACATTTTTAAGTACTTTGTTATATCTAAAATACACAACAAAATCAAGAGGGAAACAAAAAACAAAAACAAAAGAAAAAAAAGAGAAAGAAAAGAAATTTGTCAAAAATGATAAATTAGTATTTTAAAAACTCATAAAAGTCAATGTGAATAACAAGAATGAAAACAGGGAAAGGGGATGGAAGTGGGTGGGAAAAAGTTTAGAAAAAGAAACAAGCTGTGTTAAATAGATATACCTACTCAAGATGAATATAAACTTTGTGTAGTGTAATATGTACTCATAAAATAAAAATTTTAAAAAATCAATGAGGCCCCATAAAATGAATACAAGTCATTAAAAAAGTCAATAAGCATGAAAAAATTAACTCACTAGTGACAAAGAATTAGACATTAAAATAACTGGATAATATTTTTACACACTAAGATATGTATATGTAATTGTTAACTGTGATGTGTCAGCTTTACTGGAGGAAGAACTGCCTAGCACATTAGTAAAGCTTTCAGTACATCTGGGATTGACACGCAGGATGCAAACTCAAGACAGATGACCCACCCCAGATGTGGGTGGCATGAACCAACAGGTTTATAGCTTGGATGAAATGAAAAGGGAAAGAAGCAGCCCTCCTTTTTAAAATTTTTCCTTTGGGGGAGATCCGGTCTTCTCTATTCATTGCCTTTGGATATTTGTTTCCAGTTCCTTCAGCTCTCTTTGTAGCCGGGGGTGGTCTTGAATTTGCAAAGACTCTCCTGCCTCAGCCTCCCAAGTGCTGGGATTACAGGAGTGGACCACCACACATACAGTGTTTTTATAAAACTGAAAAACCAGAAAAAATACTCCAAGAATTTACAACAGTGGTTTGGTTAAATAATATGTGACCCATCGATGTAACATTGTGTTTGAGAATTTTGTCACATTGATAATTTATATCACTACTTCTGTTGTTAGGCATAACAATGTCTTGTTTCCCAAGATGTTTGTCCTCCTGTGTCCTCTTTCTCTTCTGCCTATCTATCTTCCAAACCAGAAACCTGCAATCTTCAGAGTTCCTCTACTCTCTCTTGTCCCTCTTTCCTACTGATTATCTGGTCCTTTTGCTCTGGTCTCCTGAGACGCCTCCTTAGAGACGTATTCAGGCCTCATCACCCTGCTGTCTAGACTATCGTGATGACTGGTCAATCGATGGTTGTTCAACACTCCAAAGCTCAGCAGAATGACTGGAGCATAAATGCTACACAACTGTTGAATCCATTTGCATATTAAACACTCAGAGT